TCTCAAATTAGTCTCAAGACCAACGTATTCTACATAGACAAGACAATAACCCCATTCCAGATATGGGTCTTGTGGAGCTCTCTCTCTCTCTTAAATGTGAATAAGGAAAATGATTATTGACTTTGGGGTGCCATTAAAGATTTGTTGAATTTCAGCTCGATGTGATGTTAGTGAAGCAGGAAATAATTTGATGGCTGAATTTACCAAGCCTTTACTACAAGAGACAGCTGTTCGTAGATTAAACATACTGGAAGACTGTGTCACAAATGTCAAGAAAGGATTATCCAGTGAAAATCACTTGCCCCTGTCCCATCCAGATCGTCAAGTTGTTCGTAAACCAAAAACGAAGAAAAAAGGTAAACAAAGCGAATATATTAATTTACTTTTACACTGTAAAGTTGATATCATTTGACTTATGGACAAAAAACTTTTTAAATATTTGCCACAAACAGGGCCTGGCTGTTTGGATGGGACAAAAAACTCTGATGCCCCTCTTCACGAACAGAAAAGAGGACATTAAACCCCATTTCATTTCGTTTCAACAAGCCGTCACTCATCGTCTTTATCAAGCATTCCGTCATGGTTTCCCCTTGTCTGTTGTGCAGGACGGAGGGCTTGATAAGGACAGCTGTCTAGTCGTTTGGATGTGACGGAAAATCAAGGTCCTGTGTAAACATTGCCGTGCGTGTAAAAGATCCCTTGGCATTTGGAATTCGATATAAGAGTAAGCTGTAGCGCCGCTGTCCGGTCAAAATTTCCACCAAGTCACACTGCATGGAGTATGCCCGTCTTCATTATCCCAGTTGGTGCATAACAGTAGGAGGTTAAACTTCATCTTTATGAAGCAATAGCTTTCTGTAGATATTTCATGAGGCTACAAGCCATTGATTTGGTTGCCTGTAGAATACAAGGGGGGGGGGGTTGGATGGCTGAATGGTTAGCATGTCCCCGCTGTATCATAAGGCCTGTCATTGAGTCAACTGGCGTGGTTTGAATCCCCAGTTATATGTGACAAGGAGTAGGGTCCCCAGATATGTGTGACAAGGAGTAGGGTCGCCTGTCCAAACGGGTGGGTTTACTCCGGGTCCTCCGGTTTCCTCCCACTGCTAAAGACCCCTACGCGCAAGTGAATTATTGAAATAAAATTAAACCATATGTTAGTCCCGAAATGACCTAGTTTGTGTCGAGTGGATGTTAAACCCCATCTCTCTCTCTCTCTCTCTCTCTCTCTCTCTCTCTCTCTCTCTCTGTAGAATACAAAATGGTGATTGGTTTTAATTTACAGGTATACCTGTCGTTATTTTTGTGGTAATAACAAACACTAAAATACATCATTCTCCATAACATATTACCAAGAATTATTTTTGTTGATGTCTAGTTATATTAAAGGAAATATAAGCTTATAATTAACCCTGGCCGGTTCGTTTCAAAATGGGTTCAGAACCCTGATTATATCAACTACATTATTCTTATTTTTTAAACTTTTCTCAGGTAACAAGATGGCGCCAATGCCACCTGGAATGTCTAGCCTTAATCCACACAAAAAGATGGCCCCTATGCCACCTGGAATTTCTCGCCTTAATCCACAAAATAACCTAAATACAAAACCTAGTAGATCAGATCCACAACAGAACGGAGGATTTATTACATCAACAGGCAAAGAAAATACAGCCCCTTCGAACAAGATGCCAAAACCAACAACTAGTATACCCCAAATAAAAATATCTAGTTCTTCCTCGATGGTTCCGATAGAACAAAATTCAAAGCAGATAGTCCCAGGAAACCAAAATATTTCCAATATTTGTAGACAAATTGACCAAATTTCAGAAGTTCCGAGGGAAATCCAGAATGTGTCTACTATTTCTAGTCATATAGACCAAATAGCTCATGCTCCAAGAGAACTTCGAATTATTCCTAATCCTAGTCAGCCGGCTTTTAACAACCTTCCAAAACAATCAGTAATTAGACCTAATTTAAATTCTGCACGTAATCCATATCATGCGTCTGCAATGTGTGAAACTATGGCAACGACAAGTTCACAGTCTGCGGGAACAGCACAAATTCAAGATCGCGTTTCAGCAGCAGATTTGAAGCCCAGAAGAAATCCAAGGTTTCCAGTTCCGGATAAATCTGTTAATTTTCGTCTTCCTGAACAAACACAGCATCATCGAAAGTCTGATAAGCAAACTTCTGATGCACATTCTACAGAATCTCTTCCTCATGAATCAGAAGATAACCCAGATGAAGTCACATCTTTAAGAAATCCAGCCAAAAATCATGTGAAAGAAAGAAATACAGAAATTAATAGAGGTCAAAGTTCAGTAGATCCCTTAATTACTGACTCAAGTAAGACTTTTAAGGTTAACTTTCAGGGTTTTAATAATAATAATAATAATAATAATAATAATAATGTACATTTATGATTGCGCTCATTCCATCCATATTGCATGTTCTACGCCTGGAAGATAATAGCTAATCCTAGTAACAAACAAATGAGTTTTGAGTTTGGATTTGAACACAGCTAATGTTTGAGAACTCTGTATCTCCAATGGTAAGTTATTCCATAGGCGCGGTCCACAGACACTGAAGGCTTTATCCCCATAGGATTTCAGTTTAGCTTGTGGCATAACCAGTGAGGGCTTATTTTGTTGGCAAAGTGGTTGATATGATTGAATGAGATCCATGAGGTAAGATGGGGAAAGTCCATAGAACCAATTAGTAATTCTTTTAATCCTGCAAATAATATCAATCTTTAAGTGGCATTTAGAGATTGGGAAACACATTAACAGAACACAGTTTTTATGGGAAACACGACGTTTCAACAAGTATCCTCTTATCGTTATCAAAAGAATGCACCAGTGATTGTTTCCCATAAAAACTGTGTTCTGTTAAATAATATTAAGTTGAGTAAGCACAAGAGTTTATATCAATGCGTCTGCTTGGCCAATCACAGTAGCTGAAATAATTGATCATGTCACATTTCTTCTAACTCCTCATTATCCATTATCGTCACTGGAAGAATTGTGTCATGTCAGTTTCCATTCTGTGTTACTCGATTGCAATTTTGTCAATTGGTGGCAACAGTTTGTTAATTTGACTTGTTGAAATAAGACTTGTCAAATTAACCTAGTGAAATCGTTCAAATTAACCTAGTGAAATTTTTCAAATTAACCTAGTGAAATTAACCTGTTGAAAACAGTCAAATTAATTGTTGAAAACAGTCAAATTAACCTGTTGAAATTAGTCAAATTAACCTCTTGAAATCAGTCAAATTAACCTCTTGAAATCAGTCAATTTAACCTGGTGAAATCAGCCAAATTAACCTAGTGAAAACAGTCAAATTACCCTGTTGAAATTAGTCAAATTAACCAGGTGAAATCAGTCAAATTACTCTGTTGATGTTTATTTCTTAATTTTAGATAAACAAGATGATTTCTCAACTAAGTCAGTTTTACAAACGTTTATCACAGCAGCAGTAAATAGAGATAGGTCCAAGATGGACACCGTCACGGCAGATATTTTGAGATTGACCAATCATATAGTAGAATGTTCTAGGAATCTTATTAAACATTGTCCCCAGTTAGAGAGAAAACAGTAAGTAAATGTTTAATGTCTAATATGGGGAGCCACAGTGGCTAAGTAGGTAAGATGCTGGCTTGCTAGCCTGGAGGTCGCGTGTTCGATCCCTGTATTGGCCAAGAAAATTCATCAGTATTTTCCAACGTGGTGCAGGAAGGAGGGCCTGAAAAGGACAACTGTCTAGTCGTTGGGAAGATTTCCTGTGAATACATTGGCATGCACGTAAAAGATCCCTTAGCAGTTGGAATTCAATATAAGAGTAGGCCATATTGCTGCTGCCCGGGCAAAATTTCCCTCATAAAAACTGTATGGCATATGCCGGTCTTCATTAGCCCAATCGGAGCAGAACATATCATTTCCTACTGCAAGCTATGGATACATTTATAACCAAACATGCACGGCTGGGATCATCTACTTTAATTGTCCATTTGATTACAGGGAAATAAAGATTCTTTATAAGGAAATAGAAGAAGTGTCACCAAGGATGGTAGAGCAAGCACGATTTGTTAGCGCTGGGGATGGACAAGCGTTAGATGAGTTACATATATTAACAGACGATTGGTCAGCTAAGGTACGATAAACACTGCACAAGCTGCGTGGTTGTATTAATTTGTCTAATATTCCAGTAAGTTGAGGACGTCTGCAGCTCACTTATTTGCCATAAGTGTCCACTGCGCTGTGCAGACATACAAAACCTAATTCCCCAACATTTTAATTCTTTATTTAGTTGAAAACACCATGACCGCTCCCCTTTACACAAATAGTATAATACCAAGGTTGTGGTTCCTCTAGAGGTCATAATTTTTATCCGATTTTGATGAAACTGAAATTGTATGTTTATATCACAAATATTGACCCATGTCAGACCGTAACATCCTGGATTATGACCCCTGATTGTAAGAAAAATTGCTTTTTTTTTCTTTAGCTTTTCCTCCGTCCATCTCTTGTAAAATGTGAGTGTATCTTGCATAGCAACCGCTTGTTTAATTTGGTGACAATTCAGGACATAGATCTATTCTCGAAGTACATAGTTCTCAGTGTGCATGTAAAATAAAGTGCAGGAGGACTGCACCACACCTAACTAAATAGAAACCTGCATAAAATCAAGTTTACTGGATCTATAGAATATTCCATTACTTGATATTGTTTGATGCAATTTAGTTGATTTAGATATATTTATTGTTGTATTATTTAGTATGAGAGGTTGATATATTTATTGTTGTATTATTTTGTACGAGAGGTTGATATATTTGTTGTTGTGTTATTTAGTACGAGAGGTTGAGAATATTGATAGATGTTGCTGTTGATCGGTGGAGTAAATATACCTATAAAATCCACCAAACTCTACAAGATAAAAATAGACAGGCTCTTAAATTACAGGTAAGTTTTAATATTACACCTGTTTAAAGATAGGATAAAAATAGACAAGCTCTTAAATTACAGGTAAGTTTTAATACACATCTGTTTAAGGATGCATTATGTAAGATTTAGATGAGGAGCTGTCCGTTCTTGCTAAAATAGTCAAAAACATAGATAATGTAAAGGGAATAGATTGAAAACTTCATTCAAATTACTTTGTTATGTGCCAAGTTATTAATGTATCAATCGTTTTTTTATAGTTCAAAATTTCGTTTTATTTGTTTGTACTACACTAGGATCTGGAAGAGTTGTTATATAACCCGCGTTCTGGATTGCATGAGGGATTAGCCAGTGAAGCCATCTGTTGCGGCGACTTCTTGGCATCTGACGTCATAGGGTCAAAAGCCGCTCGAACGACCCCTAACTGGTCAGATCTTCATGTAGTGTAGGCCATCGAATGTATAAAAAAAAACTAAACTAAATATAGATCATATTTTAATCAGATTGTTAATGTATGAAGTTTTGACAATAATGGTGTAGTCTTGATTGTCATTGCTAAGATAATAAACAAAATTTTGATTTTCCATTTTAGCTTTATCCGATAAATGGGTGTATGAGTTCTAATCAAATTAATACCGCAGCCATCTGATGATCTAGAGAGTTTATTCTGGGTTTCTCATATAAATAAATGTCTAAATTATAATTTATGTAAGATTTTGTTGGTATTGCTTTATACAGTTATGCATTCTACATCACTTTTTTAATTTTACGTTAATATCTTAAGCTGCACGTGTGACGTTGCACTGTGGGACAGCTATGGCGGGATATTAGGTAACGCAGCTTTTATCTTATATATCATGTGTGTCATGAACTGTTGATGGCTGGTAATCTGTTTGTCAGATGTTTGTTATTATTATAATATACTTTCTCATTTGATGACCATGTTGTTGATGTTGTTAGTTTGGCCAAAACCCTACAATTTGAAGCCTGGAAAAGGCCTGCAATAGGTACATTTAGGTCTTGCATAATGCATCTTTTACTTTGTATTATGGTTAGATTTGGTCAAATGACAAGTGTACGTATGGGCTCCCATATAGTGAAGTCTAATTATAGACACCTTCAAGTTTTTTCAAGCACTGTCTTCACGTGGTCGGGGTGGCACCTGCATGGCTGACCAGTAAGATATGCAAGGTTATTTGAATGGGAAGGAAAATAAAAGTCTATTCATGTATACATGGCGTGCACGTTAAACAACCTTGACATGTGGAAATGAAGAAAAATAGTTGAAAGAACATTGCTTTACACACTAACCATAGAAATGAAAATAACAATGTTTGTCTTGAAATGACCAAAATATTGTGTTAATTTACTGAACACATAAATAAAATTCATGTTGCTAATGCTGTACATAGTACTTAAATTGGCGAGAAATTTGTCAAAAACTGTTTGATTGGACAATAGTGTTAATCTTCGACTACAATCTTGTCTGAACTTGGCACCATGCATCCATGAAAGAATGATGTTTAATGCCTTTCTTCTCTCGACTTCAACTACTTGAAAAAGAAAAGCGAAGTATGTCTGACTTGTTGGGGGGGGGGGGGGGGGACGAATGGTTAGAACGTGCGTGCTGTATCATGAGACCTGTCATTGAGTCAACTGGCGTGGTTTCGAATCCCCGGTTGTACATGTATGTGTCAAGGAGTAGGGTTGCCTGTCCAACCTCTTGGGTTTTCTCCGGGTCCTCCGGTTTCCTCCCACTGCTAAAGACCCCTACGCGCAAGAGAATTGTTGACATAAAATTAAACCATGTGTTAGTCCCGAAATGACCTAGTCTGTGTCAAGTGGATGTTAAACCCCATTTTCTCTCTCTCTCTCTATTTCTCTCTCTCTCTCTCTGTGACTTGTTGACTTGACTGTGCACATGGACCTATTGTCTCATAAATGTAAAATTGTTATTTGATAACTGTCTTCCCTAGCTTCAACAACTTGAAAAAGAAAAGCGAAGTATGTCGGACTTGTTGACAGTGGCTACCACCCTTCCATTTCAATCGTCCAGTAATGAAGATGTATTAGACTTTTTAACAGAACAAGGTAAAGATATGGAGAACCTAACAGCAACAATCAACACAACCTGTGATATCATCTTACAGTCAGGTAATTTGCTAATTAAAAAAGCCATTCATCTAAAAAATTGGGGAGGGAGATGATATAAATGAAATGGGGTTTAACGCCCTACTGTTCTGCTCCAACTGGGCTAAGGAAGACAGGCATATGCAATACAAATGTGCTATGAGGGAAATTTTGCCCGGACAGCGCCACAATGCCTACTCTTATATTGAATTCCAACTGCCAAGGAATCTTTTACGTTCACACCAATGTGTACATGGGACCTTGGTTTTTAGTCCCATGTGAACAACTATACATTGTCCCTTGCTGGGGGGGGGGGGGGGGGTTGGATGGCTGAATGGTTAGCACGTGCGTGTTGTATCATAAAGTCTGTCATTGAGTCAACTGGCGTGGTATCGAATCCCCGGTTGTATGTGACAAGGAGTAGGGTCGCCTGTCCAACTTCGTGGGTTTTCTCCGGATCCTCCGGTTTCCTCCCACTGCTAAAGACCCCTACCCGCAAGCGAATTATGAAAATAAAATTGAACCATATGTTAGTCCCAAAATGACCTAGTCTGGGTCAAGTGGACGTTAAAACCCATTTCTCTCTCTCTCTCTCTCTCTTGTCCCTTGCCAGGCCCTCCATCCTGCACCACTGACAGACCAAGCCGAAAATCCCGATGAACTTTCTCTGCCAACAAATGGATTGAACACAGGACCTCTAGTTTAAAGAGCCCAAATCTTACTGACTGAGCCTCTGTGGCTTCCGGGAGAGATGGAGAGAGTTATTATCCGTTCTTCGAATCTAGACTAACACATTGCAATCTTTCGATTAGGAGGAAACCAGAGGGGGTTGGATGGCCGAATGGTTAGCATGTGTGCACTGTATTATAAGGTCTGTCATTGAGTCATCTGGTGTGTTTTCAATTAACCGATTGTACGTGACAAGGAGTAGGGTCGCCTTCCTACCTCGTGAGTTTTCTCTGGGTCCTCCGGTTTCCTCCCACTGCTAAAAACCCCTACGCGCAAGCGAATTATTGAAATAAAATCGAACCATATGTTAGTCTCGAAATGATGACCTGGTTTGTGTCGAGTGGACGTTAAACCCCATTTCTCTCTCTCTTTCTCTCCATATTCCTTTTTGCGAGCAAGTGTGGGATCACAATCTCTACTTTTGACTATAGTCCTTATGATCTCAAACAGCTTACCTAATTATTACAGCAGCTAACTTTGAAAAGAAATACTGCCTGGATAACCAGGGCTATATTTACATGTGATATATAGTTTGTCTTGATTAACAAGACCCTGGTGTGGTCACATCAACAAATAGGTCACTGGATAAGGTCTACAATCGGAATCTGGGCCTTTTTTCATAAACTGGTTGAGAATTAAATGCAATGAAAATTCTGCATTCTTAGAAAAATTGAGTGGAAGATTTCGTGAATAAAAGGCCCAGGATGATAAACCTATATTTACCTTGTTTTGGCATCCTATCGTTGGAACATATTGACCACCAAAATCGTAAGTTTTTGTCTCCATAGTAAATTGCATTTAATATTAAGATTTTGTTTTCTTAAGGTTCTTCTGATGAGACGAATAAAGATGAAATATTAGAATTATGTCGGGAGTGGAATGTCTGTATGACTTGTATAACCAGTGAACTAGAAACTTTAACCCAGGGTATAATATCCATTGGCAGTAATGCTTTACCCACTTTAAGGGAGATAACTCAGGGAACAACGGCCAAAATCAAACTGAAGTTGACGAAGGAAGCTGAAGTCTTAAAAGAGCTGTTACTGATGGTAACACAGGGGTATGTGATTGTAATGTTCTTATGTATTCAGGGGGTTGGATGGCCAAATGGTTAGCACATGCGCGCTGTATTATAAGGTCTTTCATTGAGTCAACTGGCGGGGTTTTGATTCCCCAGTTGTACGTGGTTTTTTTCTGGGTCCTCCGGTTTCCTCCCACTGCTAAAGTCCCCTACTCGCAAGCGATTTATTGAAATAAAATTGAATCATATGTTATTCTCGAAATGACCTAGTTTGTGTCGAGTGGTGGTTAAACCCCATCTCTCTCTCTCTCTCTCTCTCTCTCTCTCTCTCTCTCTCTCTCTTTTTTGTATTCTGTGCACCAGTTTTGTTTCTGGAGTGTATGATTTAGGGAAAAGCAAGGCTTACTATAAGACTTGGCGGGGGGCGGGTGGCGAATGGTTAGCACTTACTATTTATTTATATATTTCATGTCCCCATGCTTATTGTTTTATACATGACTAAAGTATAGCTCCATGAATATTGAACTTAAAATCGTATCTAACTTAAGTTATTAAGTACTTTTCAGCTCCTGTTATTGTTAAATGCGCCTGTCCAACCTCGTGGTTTTCTCTGGGGTTAAATGAGCTTTTTATTTCAGAGATGCTACAGAGACAGAGAAGGCGAATGACTTAGTGTTTGATATGTCTCATATACCAGAAGAACTGGAACTAGACGATAGTCCCGCTAAAATACGAAACGCTGATATATACAAACAATTAACTACAAATATCATCATCTCTAAATGGATTCTAAAGGTAAAAACCGGGAGACATGGTCCCGAGTTCACAAAGCATTCTCAGACTTATGTTAAGAATTTACTCAAAATTGTGGTGAGTGGCGGGGTGTTAGTCTAACGGTACGGAACTGGCCTCTCGACCGAGAATATTCCAGATTTTAATCCTGGGTGGGTCAAGTAGAACCTTTTGGAATTTTAAATCAAGGCACTGGTTTCACAAAACATTCTCAGACTTAAGATAAGAATTTACTCAAAATTTTTGGCCTTATCTTAACAAAAATATATCCCTTCATAAAACTTTTGTTGTTTTAATATATCAAATACATCAATAAGAAACTATGTGCAAGTTTTGTGTTTCTGGATCAAAGAAATGAAATGAAATGGAATGGGGTTTAACGTCCTACTGTTCTGCTCCTATACTGGGCTAATGAAGACGGGCATACGCCATACAGTGTGCTATGAGGGGAATTTTGCCCGGGCAGCGGCACTATCGCCTACTCTTATATCGAATTCCAACTGCCAGGGGATCTTTTACGTGCATTCCAATATATACACGGGACCTCGGTTTTTTTCGTCTCATCCGAAGGACTAGACAGCTGTCCTTGTCAGGCCCTCCTTTCTGGACCACTGACAAGGGGAAACCACGTCGGAAAATCTGGATGAACTTTCTCGGCCAATGCAGGGATCGAACACCCGACCTCCAGGCTAGGGAGCCACCCTCTTAACCACCCAGCCACCATGGCTCCTCTGGATCAAAGATATTTTTCATAAACAGTGATTGAAAGTTGAGTAAATTTCTTAAGTACAGTCTTAAGACAAACAATTTTGAGTAAAATCTGAACTTAAGTCTGAGAATGCTTTGTGAACTCGGACCTGTTGTTTCATATGATTAATTATTTGATGTCTTATACAGGTGGGTGTATTAAGGGGTGTGACAAGCACCTTTGGTATTTTCTATGATTAATTATTTAATTTTTTATGCAGGGTTTACAGTCTGTTCGTGTTATAACATCAGCTACATCTGATTATACGGTTCTTATTGATGATCTACTGGACTCGACCCACGATACAACAACACAGGCAGATAGTAAGTTCATATTTAAACTGCACTGGCATGATTACAGATCCCTCATCGACAGTAATGGCTGTTTCAATGTGACATGGTTGCAAAAAATTGTTGCACGTTAAACCTATTTTGACAGAATATGTCATTATCCAAATTGCACACTGCATATCGTATTCTCAGCCGACTTCATTAGTCTGGTTGATACAGAAAAGGCAGTGAGTTCAGAGACCCCCGATTATAGGTGAAAATGGATATGGGTTTCTTCACCTTTTATGTTTATATCTCTTTTCTGTAAACTGTCTTCATTAGCCCAGTCGGGGCAGAACAGTAGGACGTTAAACCCCATTTCATTTCATTTCTGTCAAAAAATTAACTGTGAATCTTTTTGTTTCAGTGAAGAAGAAAATAAATGATTTTCAATCCAAGATGGCTGCCATAAGACAAAAAGTATTACAAGGCATAGTTCTCTCCCCTGATTTAAATCAGCGAGCTGTTGTTAGAAAGTGTCTGGATGATATTACTGATATTCTACCATCTCTTGTAGACACTATCCACCAGTCTGTAGATGATGAAGGTAGGTTAATCAGTTTTTTGTCTTTTTTTTGTGTTCTTTGCGTTCCTAACCCTTGTATATCTAATCTAGATAGACCATTTTATAACACTACAATTTGGGTATGTTTAGTTCTACTGTTTTAGGTGGGGTTGAGGGCCGAATGGGTAGCACGTGCGCGCTGTATCAGAAGGTCTGTCATTGAGTCAACTGGCGTGGTTTCGAATCCCCGGTTGGATGTGACAAGGAGTAGGGTTGCCTATCCAACCTCATGGGTTTTCCCTGGGTCCTCCGGTTTCCTCCCACTGCTATAAAGACCCTATGCGCAATCGAATTATGGAAATAAAATTAAACCATATGTTAGTCCTGAAATGACCTAGTTTATGTGAGTGGACATTAAACCCCATCTCTCTCTCTCACGTCAACCAGAACGAGGGATATATAACAACTCTTCCAGATCCTAGTGTAGTAAAGACAAGGAAAACAAAATTTTGAACTATAAAAAAAGGAAGCGAAATAGAATCTGTGTTTTAATCGGATGGGACAAGATTATATTGGTTCTGTTATATTTCAGATGAGAGATCTACGTCTATTATTTGGCCATTAAAACATAAGATTGGTGCGAGATTACGAAGAATTGTTTGTACATTAGAAACGATGACAGAAGTTAAACACAAACTATTACAAGGTAGGGTGTCTTCTCGTAAGGATCTTCTCTCTTGTCATTTGGAGCCACGGTGGCTAAGTAAGTAAGACACTGGCTCGCTAGCCTGGAGGTCGCATGTTCGATCCCTGCATTGGCCAAGAAAGTTCATCAGGACTTTCTGATGTGGTTTCCCCTTGTCAGTGGTGCAGGATGGAGGGCCTGACAAGGACAGCTGTCTAGTCATTCGGATGATACGAAAAACCGAGGTCCCATGTATACATTGGCGTGCATGTAAAAGATCCCTTGGCAGTTGGAATTTGATATAAGAGTATAGGCCTCAGGGCCACTGCCCGGGCAAAAGTTCTCTCATAGCACACTGCATGGCATATGCCCGTCTTCAATAGCCCAGTCGGAGCAGAACAATAGGACATTAAACCTCATTTCATTTCTCTTGTCATTTGTTTTTCAGACATGGAGGGGGGTTAGCACGTGCGAGCTGTATCACGAGGCCTGTCATTGAGTCAACTGGCGTGGTTTTGAATCCCCGATTGTACGTAGGATCGCCTGTCCAACCTTGTGGGTTTTCTCCGGGTCCTCCGGTTTCCTCCCACTGCTAAAGACCCCTACGCGCAAGCGAATTATTGAAATAGAATTAAAATCATATTATGTTAGTCCCGAAATGACCTAGTTTGTGTCTAGTGGACGTTAAACCCCATTTCTCTCTCTCTCTTTCAAACATGGAATACAATTACTGCTTATTACTGAGCGATGTTTCAACTTGGCATCTATAGCCATTATTATCTTGTCATTCAGTTGATTGAATTTCATCAATTTCTGTTGATTACTTGTGAGCTTATGGCCCTTGTTGGACATTGTGAATACTAAAACAACAAAAGTTATCATCTGATCTGTATGACTTTTATATGCATCATAATGAATTTCAGCAATTTTCGTCGATTACTGCTAGAGTTATGGCCCTTGTTTTATTTTTTTGAACTTTGTGAATGACAAAAATTATAAATCCGATCAGTATGAAAATTTATACACATTATTTAAATTTGTAAAATCCTGTCCAATTTCAACAATTTCTGTATATTACTTCGAGTTAAGGCCCTTGTTTCATTTTGTAGAATCGGGTGAACCCTCAAACGATGAAAAATACCATTACCTACAAAAGAATAATTATGCCACAACCCTTGTTGACCGCTCAGATGATTTAGCTGGTATGTTGCATTGCCTGGCAACCTATCTTTTGATACAAGAGGTCTGAAATCCTCATTAGTTGTTTGCCTCAGGATACTTAATTTGAAATAATATTATCATTGAACGGTTTAATTATTAGTGCGTTTTTTATTTTCAGAGCTGAAAAAACTTCTTGATCCATCAAGTGATAACTCAAGATATCAATCCAGAACAAGTTTGAGTTTGACACCTTCCCACCTTAAATCACCCTTTTCCACACCCTCATCTTCTAAAAAGACGACACCACTGAAAGTCTCTCCTTCCACTCTGTCAAATCCGAAATGTCCACGAGTTGCTGGGTCAACGCTGAGAAAGAAATCGTATGGAGATAACGATACATCCTACTCTATGCAAGCATTACAACCAATTTATGATGATCAAGACTCAAAAAGTCCTGGACAATCTCCATACCTGTTTAAAAATTTACGGTGAGTTTATAAAAATAAGCTGAAAATGTTATTTTGTCTGTAGTTATTGTCATGCTATGTAGACTTACAGAATGTTTTCCTTGGGTGATTTTCATGCTATATAGACTTACAGAGTGTTCTCTTTGAGTGATTTTAATGCTATAGAATGTTTTCCTTGAGTGATTTTTATGCTGTAGACTTACAGAGTGTTTTCATTGAGTGATTTTCATGCTATAGACTTAAATAATGTTCTCTTTGTGTGATTTTCATGCTATAGACTTACATAATGTTCTCTTTGAGTGATTTTCATGCTGTAGATTTAAAGAATGTTTTCCTTGAGTTATTTTCATGCTCTAGACTTACAAAATGTTTTCCTTGAGTGATTTTCATGCTGTAGACTTACAGAATGTTCTCCCTGCGTGATTTGGATGCTGTAGACTTACAGAATGTTTTCCCTGCGTGATGTGAATGATATTGACTTACAGAATGTTCTCCCTGTGTGATTTTCATGCTATACTATTACAATGTGGATGCTCGATTGTCAGTCGAGAATGCTATCAATTGAGATCCTGTACTATTGTAATATTTGAGATGTTTTATAATTCAGGTCAGAACAAACATCTACACCTAAAGATGACATCAACAATTCCTTTGATCAACGTAGAATAACACTAGATTTAAAGGTACTCTATTTATAAATTGTTTAACCAGCAATGAGTAACTGACTCAAAATAAAACATGACTCAATTATATGGAATACAATTTACTTGGATGTTTATATCTGTCGAGGAAGGGTGGATGGCTGAATGGTTAGCACATGCATGTTGTATCCTAAGGTCTGTCATTGAGTCAACTGGCATGGTTTCGATTCCCCAGTTGTACGTGACAATAAGGAGTAGGCTCACCTGTCCAACCTCGTGGGTTTTCTCCGGGTCCTCCGGTTTCCTCCCACTGCTAAAGACCCCTACGCGCAAGGGAATTATTGAAACAAAATTGAACCATATGAAAGTCCCGCAATGACCTAGTTTGTGTCAAGTGGACATCAAACCCCATTTCTCCCTCTCTCTCTCTCAATCTGTCAAGGTTCAACAAAATTTACCTTATCTTTATCAATTGTAAGCATGATATTATGGTTTTAAGAATGCTATTATAGCGGGAACTGTCAGCTTATTATCTAACCTTACCTAATGCCCTTTTTAGTAGCCTACCGTACACACCTCGCAACCGCCAGTTAACTATTATAGCGAGAACTGTCAGCTCTTTGTATAAACCTTATCTAATGCCCCTTTTAGTAGCCTACCGTACACACCTCGCAACTGCTAGTTAACTATTATAGCGAGAACTGTCAGCTCTTTGTATAAACCTTATCTAATGCCCTTTTTAGTACCGTACACACCTCGCAACCTCTAGTTACCAATTATAGCGAGAACTGTCAGCTCTTTGTACAACCTTACCTAATGTCCCTTTAAATAGAGGGAATGGAAAGACATGACTTTTTATGTGAAATTATACGATGAGTCTTTTCACCAACATTGAATATCAACAAATTACTGCTGATTTTTAATAAAATTTAAAATATTTCTATTTTTAGAGTAATGTAAATTACATTGAAAGACAGATAGAAAGATGGAACGAGAATAACAATCCTGTTGTTATGGTAACTGTAGAGTTAACACATTACGTTACTAATATGGTGAAATATTGTGTCGGAGAAGGATTAATTGCTGTAAGTTGATCAGATCTGCAGTATAATGAAATAAAATAATGTTTAACGTCCTACTTTTCTGTCCAACCTCGTGGGTTTTCTCCGGGTCCTCTGGTTTCCTCCCACTGCTAAAGACCCCTATACGCAAGCAAATTATTGAAATAAAATTAAACCATATGTTAGTCCCGAAATGACCTAGTTTGTGTCGAGTGGACATTAAACCCCATTTCTCTCTCTCTCTCTCCCTACTTTTCTGCTCGTATTGCAGTGTCCTATGAGGGAACTTTAAGGCGCTATGACCTACTCTTATCTCGAATTCCAACTGTCAAGTATTCCTTTACATGCACACCAATGTGTACAAAGGACCTCAGTTTTTTGTCCCATCCCGAGGACTATACGTTGTCGCCTCTAGGCCCACCATCATACACCATTGACAAGGGTGAACCACGATGGAAAATCCCAATGAACTTTCTCGGTCAACACTGGGATAGAACAGGAGACCTCAAGGTTAGCGAGCCAACGTCTTACTCACTGAGCCAACGCAACTCCCACATATACAGCATAATTAAGATAAGACCCTACTTTCATTTTACAATCAGGTCTAACAACATCTTTAAGATCATTTGCTTGATAAAGACGACAGTTTCCTTGTCGAAGCGTCACTTAGAAATAAACTCAGTAATTGTGTATCCATGAAATTGTGTCTATCGTTTCTGTTAAACTGATCTAACTTGACCCGTCAATCAGCTAATGAAAAAAGGATCATCATTGAGCAATAATCATTTTAGACAATCTCATTGGCTTAAATCAAACTTCACAAAGTGAACAGAAAAGTGGTCAAGCACTAGTTAGATCTTATATATGTAGCAGTGAGAGGAAACTGGTGGACCCACAGAAAACCCATAGAAAACCCATAAACAGGGGATTGCAATCACACAACTAGGCTTAATAACAGACTTTATTGATTTAAAGCATGCACATTAGAACTGTATGAAAATTATAATTAAAGGCTGCAGGGAGCATAGCACGGGACCCTGGGCCTTTAAGATGACTATCAGACAGATTTATTATGGTTGTAAATATCTATTTATTATCAATCATATACAGAATATTGAAGAAAGGATAGAATTCTCTCTCTCTCTTTTTTTTTCTCTCTCCCCCCTCCCCTCTCTCACTCTCTCTCCCCCCCCCCCATTCTCTGTCTCTCTCTCTCTTTCACACATATTATTGTAAACATCTGTATTATAATTATACAGAATATTGAAGAAATGATAGAAGTCGCGGGTCGTGTTGTAGATTGTGGTGTTAAATTACGAGATTTTGCTGTCACCGTTGCTAATTTAGCCACAGATTCAAGGTAAGGGAATTGAATTAACATCTTTTAGGAGGCTGTTATTTTCTCATTTCAAGCACTATCTGATAGAGTTGGTTTTATTCTTCAAGATATACTGGAGGTTTTTCCATGGGTTTATTTTGTATGACTTAAAGAACTATAGCTACTAACACAAACTGACAGGGACCATAGATACTAACACAAACTGACAGAACAATCATAGCTACTAACACGAACTGACAGAGCAATCATAGCTACTAACACGAACTGACAGATCATAACTACTAACACAAACTGAGATCATAGCTACTAACACAAACTGGCAGGGACCATAGATACTAACACAAACTGACAGAACAATCATAGCTACTAACACATACTGACAGAACAATCATAGCTACTAACACAAACTGACAGATCATAGCTACTAACACAAACTGACAGAACAATCATAGTTACTAACACGAACTGCCAGAGCAATCGTAGCTACTAACACGAAGTGACAGAGCAATCGTAGCTACTAACACGAAGTGACAGATCATAACTACTAACACAAACTGAGATCATAGCTACTAACACAAACTGCCAGGGACCATAGATACTAACACAAACTGACAGAACAATCATAGCTACTAACACAAACTGCAAGGGACCATAGATACTAACACAAACTGACAGAACAATCATAGCTACGAACACAAACTGACAGATCATAGCTACTAACACAAACTGACAGAACAATCATAGCTACTAACACAAACTGCCAGGGACCATAGATACTAACACAAACTGACAGAACAATCATAGCTACTAACACAAACTGACAGATCATAGCTACTAACACAAACTGACAGAACAATCATGGCTACTAACGAAACTGACAGAACAATCATAGCTGCTAACACAAACTGACAAACTGACAGAACAATCGTAGCTACTAACATGAACTGACAGATCACAACTACTAACACAAACTGACAGAGCAATCATAATTCTAAAATGGATTCTTAGCTACTAACATGAACTGACAGATCACAACTACTAACACGAACTGACAGAGCAATCATAATTCTAAAATGGATTCTTTTGTTCATTGGTGATATTTCATTACATGTTGGTTTTTTTATCATGTTCATTTTTGTTCCTTTTTTATTCTCATTATTGTGTATTTTTAAATTTTTAGTCATGCAGATGATTTGATTTTATCAACCAATCAGATTACTACATCCTCACACCAGTTGAAAATGATTGCAAAAGTTTTTGTTTCCGCAACAAAAAATCACCAGGTAACAAATATAAAAAGCAATGTTTTGTTGGGTTTTTTTTTTAAATAACTAAAATGAATACCAGTATCCATTTGAAAGGACCCCTTTCTGCTTCAACAAAAGTGTGGTGACATTACATTCAGGCTTTCTGTCAAGGACAGCTGTCTAGTTGTTCAGATGGTACGGAAAACCAAGGTTCAGTGTACACATTGGCCTGCACGTAAAAGATCCCTTGGCAGTTTGAATTCGATATAAGAGTAGGCCGTAGTGCCACTGTCCGAGCAAAATTTCCCTCATAGCACGCTGTATGGCGTTTGCCTGTCCTCATTCGCCCAGTCGAAGCAGAACTGCAGTAGGACGTTAAACCCCATGTCATTTCATTTTCATTTCTTTTACCTTCAGGATTTCTGTCCTCTTTCTCACACTCCTTGAAAGAAAGACAGTATGACTATTTCTAGTGAATGGATTTTAATAAAACTGGCATTATAAGGTGATACAAAAAAATATCATGGTTCCAAGACAAACATTCAAAAAAATCTGATGCTGGAGGGATTTTTTCTTATTTTTTTTTTTTGTGTTTTCTTTTGTCAAAGGATCAAGTCACATTTCAAGGCACTACATGTATCTCATCATGTCCTTTATAGAAGGGTGGTTGAATGGCCGAATGGTTAGCACGTGCGCGCTGTATCATACGGTCTGTCATTGAATCAACTGACATGGTTTTGAATCCCCGGTTATACGTGACAAGGAGTAGGGTCGTCTGTCCAACCTCGTGGGTTTTCTCTGTGTCCTTCCACTGCTAAAGCCCCCTACGCGCAAGCAATTATTGAAATAAAATTAAACCATATGTTAGTCCCGAAATGACCTAGTTTGTGTCCAGTGGACATTAAACTCTCTCTCTCTCTCTCTCCTTTACTCTCTCTCTCTCTCTCTCTCTCTCTCCTTTATAGAAATGTATGATTATCTATGATTATATTTGTTGAAACCTTTCTTAGAACTGAGAGTATTTAATTCAGAAACTTCAACATGTCCTAACTGTCTTAATTCTATATATGTCTTGTTTCAGACAGAGAAAATCTTGACGCGTAATGCCCGAGATTTAATGCAGGGTGTTCGTGATATGTTTGAACTTGCTGAAATCATGTGTATAAAGGTAAAACTAACACATTAAGAACATTGTGTACAGAAATTTCATATTAGGCCTCGGAGCCACGGTGGCTAAGTGGGTAAGACACTGGCTCGCTAACCTGGAGGTCGCGTGTTCGATCCCAGCATTGGCCAAGAGAGTTCATTAGAACTGACATGGTTTCCACTTGTCAGTGGTGCAGGACAGAGGGCCTGACAAGGACAGCTGTCTATTCGTTTGGATGTGACGAAAAATCGAGGTTCCATTTATACATTGATCCCTTGGCAGTTGGAAGTCGATATAAGAGTAGGCCATAGTGCGGCTGCCCAGGCAAAATTTCCCAAATTATATACTGTATGGCGTATGCCCGTCTTCATTAGCCCAGTCGGAGCAGAACAGTAGGCTGTAAACTATAAATTTAAACTGTTTTTATTGTATTTTAAGTTTCAATTATTTTTTTTTAAATCTGTCAAGTGACCAGTTGTATACCAGTAGTAAAAGTGTGATAATCCGATTGTAGTATTGTATAGTAAAAGTGTGATAATGTGATTGTAGTATTTTATAGTAAAAGTGTGATTGTAGTATTTTATAGTAAAAGTGTGATGATGTAATTATAGTATTATATAGTAAAAGTGTGATAATCTGATTGTAGTATATATTTATGTTTTAAGGGTTTATCATTAACGGGAGAGAAAACCAGAGAAGAGATGGATGCGTTGGCGCTGTTAAAAAGTTGGCAACGAAGATTATTAGAACAACGACATGAAGAACTGAACAGTACAGAGTTGGATGAACTCGGTTTACGTCGTGTGGAGGAACATAATCCTCCACGCCTGACTCATTTATTAGATAATGGATATTATATCTAATCCTCTCTCTACCATAGCGCCGCTGCCCAGGCAAAATTTCTCTCATAGCACACTGTTTCCTTTATGCTTGCCTTCAGAAGCCCAGTTGGAGCAAAACAGTGGAATTTTACCGCCCCCCCCCCCCCCATTTCATTTTTTATCTACAGGACGATTGACATTTTGTTTTATGAGGTTAGCAAAATAGAAATAGTTAGTAGCTACTGTATATGTGTGAATAGTGACATTAATTTTGTTTTGAATATGTGTCCAACATAGTTTCACAAGATGATGAATATAGTGGGGGGTTTCTGACTAGATTAAAAATAGCCTGTTCCTATTATAAAGACATTTTTTAGTAGTGAAGCTTATTCTGCCATTAAATAGGTCCATTTTATGGGGTTGAAAACTATAGACTTTGATAAAAGATCCCCTTGATGAAGAAAAATGGATGGAATTGTCATTGTCTGGACACAATTCAACTGATAAGTGATAATAAAGCAGTCTGTGACTTCTGAATACAAGTACATTCCTATATAAATCTTTTTGCTATGTCCGTATTCATTATCTCGGTCGGCGCAGAAAAGTAGGAGTTAAATGTCATTTCACTCTTCACTTATAATGTTTTAGTTTATCTTATTATAGGAGTTATTATGCTATATATATATATATTTAATATATATATAAAATGAAAGTTGTTTGTTTGTTATATTATACCGAATGGTTATAAATTCTAAAATAACTTCATAATAATCAGATATTTTAACATATCTATTCTGTATTTGGTTATGTATTTAATGATGAAATTGACAATGAGGGCTAAATCTGCATATTGTAAGTCTTTAATTTGGCTATCAACACTCTAGACCAGTAGTTCCCTTCCTTTGGTAGGTTATGACCCCATTCAATAAACCAGCATGTGGTTGCGACCCCTTGAAGAACAAAGTTACCTTTTACTATGAAACATCATTATTAACAGATCAAAATGTTCATAATAAGAGACTGAGGTAACACATCGTAAGCGTGAGAGAGGAGTGACGGTTGACAATTGTGGCAAGAGGTTTATAGATCAGAGATTTCTATGTTTTTCATGAAAACAGTGCTCAGCGACTCCTGAAGTTGGGAAAGATAATAAAATGAAATGGGGTTTAACGTTCTACTCCTATACTGGGCTAATGAAGACGGTCATACGCCATACAGTGTACTATGAGGGAAATTTTGCCTGGGCAGCGGCACTATCACCTACTCTTATATCGAATTCCAACTGCCAGAGGATCTCTTACGTGCATTACAATATATACACGGGACCTCAGTTTTCCGTCTCATCCGGAGGACAAGACAGCATTCCTTGTCAGGCCCTCCGTTCTGCACCACTGAAAAGGGGAAACCACGTCGGAAAATCTGGATGAACTTTCTCGGCCAATGCAGGGATCGAACACCTGACCTCAAGGCTAGCGAGCCAGCGTCTTAACCACCTAGCCACTATGGTTCCCCTGAGGTTGGGAACCCAGGCTCTAGACCAAATAGATCGAAACACAACCGCCATTTAATGATTTAATTTTAAAATGGTGAATCATGGCTCAGTCTCTATTAACAAGTACCATGGTTATGATAATAATCAATCTATGCCACATCTTGTCAAAATTTCAAACATTCATAACTTCGCTTAGATAAAAGTAATTTGAATGAAATTTTCACTATATTCATTTTGAACTAATATTTTTGAACTAATATAATAAGAACGGCCAACTCTTTACCTAAATCTTATAATGTATCCTTAAAGATACATTCTGGGAGATTAGATAAAGAGCTGGCAGTTCTCATTATAATAGTTAAAAACTAGATAATGTAAAGGGAATTTGCTGAAAATTTCAGTCAAATTGATCCACTCTGAACCAAGATTTTAGTGATTGAATTTTCGAACTAGCCTCGATCATCATTACTAAAATCGGTAAACATCGTCTCGATTATCCATTTCATGATTGAATCATGAATGAAAGATGAGCAGCAAATCGGTTCCTAATCCAGTAAACATCGTAGGCTAGTGATGACATCTGACATCGAGAGATGATTATGGTCTGGATAAGTTAATTAATGTCTAATTAATAGTTTATATAACATTTCAGGTCTAAAGAAAGACCTAAAATAGGCAGATTTAGCTCTTGCATAATGTATGTTTAATGATTATTATTGAAGTATTATATGCAAGCAAGAATATATCAGTATTACTGACAAGGAAAGCTGTCTAGTCGTTCGGATGGGACGAAAAACCGAGGTCCCGTGTACACATTGGCATGCACGTAAAAGATCCCTTGGCAGTTGGAATTCGATATAAGAGTAGGCCGTAGTGCCGCTGCCCGGGCAAAATTTCCCTCATAGCACACTGTATGGCGTATGCCCGTCTTCATTAGCCCAGGTTAGGAGCAGAACAGTAGGACGTTAAACTCCAATTCATTTAATCAGTATTACTGCACAAACAGTATTTGTTTTTGACAACTAATTTAAAAATTAGTAATCTAACGCAACGTTATATTTAAGAAATGTTTTTAACAGTGCGAGGTTCCTTTACATTCCTGTACAACTGTCATGGCTTGTTCAGTATTTTTTGTATTCCATTCATTCCTAGTCTCGAACAATTGTCATGGCTTGTTCCATTATATTCCTGTACAACTGTCATAGCATTTTCAATATTTTTTGTATTCCATTCATTCCTAGTCTTGTACAGTTATCATGGCTTGATCCATTATATTCCTTTACAACTGTCATGGTATTTTCGATATTTATTGTATTCCATTCATTCCTATAGTCTTGTACAGTTGTCCTGGCTTGTTCCATTATATTCCTGTACTACTGTCATGGCTTGTTCAAGATTTATTGTATTCAATTCATTCTTAGTCTTGTACAATTGTCATGGCTTGTTCCATTATATATGCCTGGCATTTTCAATATTTTTTAGTCGTGTACAGTTGTCGTAGCTTGTTAAGTATTATTTTATTCCTTTAAGACTTTGGTAAAACATGCCTTATAATTAACTAGTCTTATATATACTGTATTAAAGATTTTTACTACAATGCTGTTGTTGTCCAACTTGATCCTCAAGACAAAACAATTCTGCTGTCATTGGTGATATAAAATACTTTTACACATTTCAAGTTTTAATTTTCCAATTTCTTAAAACAGATTTAACAAAAACATCCAAATATCCATTTATTCTGAAGTATGTGTATATTTTGTTGCCTGGCAGCCATTTACGAAATAGACTGGTTCCATTTTCAGTATGAAAGACATTTTGAATGTCAAATAGGCCTAATAATGTCCACTGAACACTAACACTACTAAGTAGGTCAATTCAGGACTGATATGGTATATTTTATTTCAATAATACCCAGTGGAACAACACCGAAGAACACCCGATGAGGTTAGCCGATTCCTTTGTCACTTCTGAGCATGGAACAGTCTGATTAAACCACAGATCCTATTTCGTTTCGTGTTTTATATTCAAAATTTTGTTTTACTCGGCGTTCTGGATGATGTGAGGGATTAGCCAATGAAACGGTCTGTTACGGCAAGAGGTGCATGGAACTGTGAGTAAACCACTAGAAACATAAACACTGATTGATTCATCAATGGCTGGCGTCATAAGGTCAAAAGCCGCTTGTATAACACCTGAGACGACGACCTTCCATCGAAAGTATAAAAAACCGAAACGAAATATAGATCTGTATTTTAATAAGATTAACCCTCCAACTGGCATATATAATGGTATGAGAGAGATACAGGGTTTAACGTCCACTCGACACAAACTAGGTCATTTCGGGACTAACATATGGTTCAATTTTATTTCAATAATTCGCTTGCACGTAGGGGTCTTTAGCAGTGGGAGGAAACCGGAGGACCTCGAGAAAACCCACGAGTTTGGACAGGCGACCCTACTCCTTGTCACATACAATCTGGGAATCGAAACCACGACAGTTGACTCAATAACAGTCCTTATGATACAGCACACTCTCGCTAACCATTCGGCCATTCAACCCCCTATAATGGTATGACCTACAGCATGTTTGCTCCCATTTTCTTCAACAGCCCGAACAAGCAAAGTATGTTTCCGTGCAGGGCTGGATTGACCATTAAGCAAAGTAAGCACATGCTTGTGGGTTTTCTCCCGCTGCTTAAGTCCGCTGCGCCAGCGAATGTCCTACTCTTCCATGTCGATTACATTAATCTCTCTCTCTCCTGTATGTAATTCAGGTAATGTCTTTTACCTGTATTAGCTATACTCAAAAAAACAAACAAATTTTGGATCAATAAATATTAATTATTTTCGGCGGAAAAAACACCAAGATAATCAACATATCTTCGATCAATGAACAACCATAACAGAACAATGTTGGATTGGACAACCATATACCCCAATAGAATATCAACAAGTCATGCAAGGACATCAAGTAACAAAAGTAATCAACTGATATGTTTCAGTATATAAAAACAAGTGTCATTGTATAATTAAGCATAATCCAATATCTTTGAGTCATAATTCACACATTCGACCAAAACTGGTGAAAAAGAGTTTTATTTTAATAACACAGTCCAGGATCAAGGTTATTGTTTCAGTTTTGACTGACTGGCAGGGAAAATGACCAGCTGCAGAACCTTAAAACAAGACCCTAACATTGACGAAATCATTGATCATTTGTGTATTTCATAAGAATGGTGTCTAGTTTTAACTGTAAATACCTAATGAACTATTGTACATATCATGTAACTTTTCATTGTTATTTTTTCCCCTTTGAAAGTGTACAATTAAGTACGAATAAAGATATTATTATTATTATTATTATTAAATTTACATGCAACAAGAATAGTGGTCTGAACCCTTGTAAATGAGTTGCTTCCCTTGAAAATGGGCTCTTTTTAAGTCCTATCTACCAGTCTTGATTGACTGGTGAACTTATACCTGTCAGTTAAATGTATATGTTATAAAATTATAAGTTCAGAAAATTTAAGCTTACAATGCAAAAAATATAGTAAAGTTTCTCGATCACCCTATATGTATTAGTTTGATTCAAACTGACCTCTTGGCATTATAATGGCAAACTAGATTAAGCTGAAACTAAACATAATAATCAAAGTGAAGTTACCAAAATATACATATAGCACAGAATTATTGAAAGGAGAGAGAGATGGGGTTTAACCTCCACTCGACATTGAAAGTAGAGAATTGGCACCATAATTAAAAGCTATTATTAAAGAAAATTACTATCACATACATTAATAAAACAAATTTGATAGAAGGCAAGACACCAACTTGAATTGTTGTTCTATGGAAACATTTTTTTTAAATTTTGCTTTTTATCTCAAGTTAAGGGATGCAAACCTACTCCTCGTTATGTACAATCGTTATGGGATCGAGTCTATGACTAGGTTGACGACAACTGCCTGCACATGTCTGCAGACATTTGACCATCAAACCAACTCTAGTACTTCTAGAACTAGCAAGAGTACAATGTTCAATCAAAGAATCATGCCTACGAACATAATACTCCATAGTGACAACTGCTGCACAACTCTAGATCTGCAGATACTAGACCATCAAATCAAACCAACTCTAGAACTTCTAGAACTAACAAGAGTATAAATTGCTACTAGCAACATTCTTTAAATATAAGATGTTATTTGACCTCTTAAAACAATAAAATATAAAAACTCACAACAAAAAAAATAGCAATACCAAATATACAGATTATAAAATTTAACAAAGCATTCATTAATCTTAAAAAAAACATGGGCGTTCTAGCTGCTTAACAAGGACATTTAACAATTCTAAATAAAACATAATTCATTCAGTAGGTTTTAAGGTATGTTCACACTTGTTCATGAAATGTTAGAGTATGTCCACACTTGTTCATGAACTGTTAGAGTATGTCCACACTCATTCAGTAGCTGTTTATTAACATGAGAGGGATCATGTTATCACTTGTTACACATGTTCAGTAGCTCTGAGGTTATGTTGTTCCCTTTGAGCAGCAGCTGAAAGGTTATGTTCACTTTGTTCTGCTTATAGAAGGTTATGTTCGGTAGTTTTGAGGTGATGTTCAGCAGCTGAAAGGTCAATACTTGTGGGGTTATCCTCACTTTGTTCAGAAGTTTTGGGGTGATCTTCACTTTGTTCAACAGTTTTGAGGTTATCTTCACTTTGTTCTGCAGTTTTGAGATTATCTTCACTTTTTTCAGTAGTGGAAAGGTTATATTCACTTTGTTCTGTATTGGAGAGGTAATATTCACTTTGTTCTATAGTGGAGGAGTTTTGTTCACTTTGTTCAATAGCTGTGAGGTTATATGCTGTGACCACAAGGTTATCATTTATTTGTTCCACAGCTGCGAGGTTATGTTCACTTCCATCTATAGCTGAAAAGTTATGTTCACTTTGTTCTTTAGCAGAGAGGTTAGATTCACTTTGTTCTTTAGCTATAAGGGCATTAACTGCAACGTTATGTTCACTTTTATGTTGGTTATTTACAGTTTGTTCAGTGCCCAGACAATAGTCTATGGTAGAAGAATTACAAACATTTCTGTGGGGATAAACATGCCCTAAGTTGATGCTCTTGTGGTTCAAATGTGGAGAACAATTTTCATTTGATTTTAGTCCTAAATCAACACATTCACTATGTGAAACATAGTTATTCTTTTCTAACATATCTTCATTTTGTTCTGTAGAATCAGAGCCTTTATCTAGGCAAAGTTTACTGGGTTCTGAAACTGATGTGTGGACCTTTCTATCACCTTGTTCTGCCATAGAAAGATGAATGTCTAAACTGAGTTCAATTAGCTCTGCTATAACATTTTTAACCTCTTCTTTACCTTGGTCATTTCCTGCAGCTTGAGCTCCAGAGAGGATACCTTCTTGTTTATTGTCATCAAACTCAGAAGGGTTGAGTTGTTCTGCAGTAGAGGAATTCTGTCTTTGCCCAGTTTCAATAGCACCTGTGATCTTGGGTTGACTTGTATCGGAAACATTTGGTTCTGGCCTACACTGAGGTGGTTCTGTAGTACACACAATTTGCTCTAGAATATGTCCACTTGCTTCGCTAATACTGAAATTTGGTTCTTGGCTATGTTCATTTAGTAATGTTTTGGGGAGATCTGGATCTATACAAAGTTTACTAGGTTCTCCTATGGACGCATTTGTTTCTATGTTACAAACATTTGTTATGTTTTTGGGTGGATGTGCTTCTAGGTCATGTTCAATATGTTCTGTTGTGGGTAAATTTGGTTCACAGTCAGCTTCATTTGTTTCAATTGTACAGACACTTTGTTCTGGACCGTGTTCATTTGGTTCTGTATCACGTGGATTTGGTTCAAGGCCATGTTCATTTGGTTCTAGACTATCTTCATTTGGTTCAGTTGTTATTTCTAGATCACATTCATTTCGTTCTGTATTACATAGGTTTGTTTCTAGATCATCTTCATTTGGTACTAGATCATTTTCATTTACATCTAGTTTATGTTCATTTTGTTCTGTATTACAGTCATTTTGTTCTAGATCGTGTCCATTTGGTTCTAGATCATGTTCATTTGGTGCTAGATCATGTTCATTTGGTTCCAAATCATGTTCATATGGTTCTGTATCAAATACATTTGGTTCTAGCTTATGTCCATTTGGTTCTGTATTAAATATATCTGGTTCCAGAACACATTTATTTGGTTCCAGCTTAGGTTCATTCTGTTCTGTTTTGAGAATATTTATTTCTACACTACATTCCCTGGACCTTGTTTGTTCAGATAAATTCAGTTCTAGATGGATATCTTCCATTGGATATGCCTTTTCAGTTGGTTTTGCATGAAATAGGATGGGTTCCAGTTGATGTGCCTGTTCAGTTGGTTTTGCATGAAATAGGATGGGCTCCATTTGATGTTCTTGTTCACTTGATTCTGAATAATGTTCACATTGTTCTGTTGTTAAAAGATGGACGTTTAGACTATGTTGAATCAACTCACCAATTAATTGTTCAACTTCTAGGCCAAGTTCACATGTTTGAAGTTGAGGTGGCTTTATGCTTTGTTCACCTGGTTGTGTATCCATATGATCTGGTTCTAGGCCTTGTTTAATTAATGCCATATTTGGTTCTAGGCCTTGTTGAGTTAAGGCTGTATTTCGTTCTAGGCCTTGTTGAGTTAATACTGTATTTGGTTCTAGGCCTTGTTGAGTTAATACTGTATTTGGTTCTAGGCCGTGTTGAGTTAATACTGTATTTGGTTCTAGGCCTTGTTGAGTTAATGCTTTATTTGGTTCTAAGCCTTGTTGAGTTAATACTGTATTTGGTTCTAGGCCTTGTTGAGTTAATACTGTATTTGGTTCTAGGCCTTGTTGAGTTAATGCCATATTTGGTTCTAGGCCTTGTTGAGTTAATACTGTATTTGGTTCTAGGCCTTGTTGAGTTAATGCCATATTTGGTTCTAGGCCTTGTTCTAGGCCTTGGTGAATTAATTCCATATCTTGTTCTATATTTGCTTCTGGCCTACCAGATTCTGGAAGTTCATTTGATTTTATTATCAGACAATTATTGTCCTCTAATGTAAGGTGGATATCTTCAGTAGAGATATCAGATTCCAGTTGATCGATAACCTCATCCCTGCGAAGAATTTGTATGTTACTTTCTGGGACGGAATCATAAAGTACCGGTGGATTCTGTTGATCTTTCGTTGAACACACTTGATTCTGTGATGGAGCAGACTTTCTAATCATTTCATCAGCTATAGCTCGCTCAATAGAACAACAATTTTCAAGATGGTTCTGAAAAATAAGAGATATTTCTGAAGCAGTGATCATAATGTCAAATTTTCAGCTAGCACATTGGTCTCAGTATTCAGAAATCGTGGTGACTGCCATATGCTAACCAATCTGCTTCAGAATTGTGGCCAGATTTTACGACACAGGAAGCAATTTCATGGCATCATAAGCAATTTAATACATCAATTTTTAAAATGATACTTAAACAGGCATTATGGGGAACTAAATCTGCCTATTGCAGGTCTTTCTTAAGGCCTTAAATAATATATAAATTATTAATTAGACATTTATTTACAAGACAAAACCATAATCAACTCTGATGCCATCTGATGGGTATGATTTTAACCAATTTTGAATCTGATCTGCAATTCAAAGGCTGTTCATGATTAAGCGTAAATATGGATAATCAAGACTTTGTTTATTATTGTAATAACGGTAAAAATGACAATCAAGGCTACAGTAATTTGACTGAAATTTTCAGTACATTCTTTGTTAGTAATTTATTTTTTAACTTCTATAGCGAAAACTGCCAGCTCTTTATCTAATATCCCATAATGCCCCTTTAATGTAACAGATCATTAAATCAATACAACAAAAAGCCTCTTAAATTGTAGTTGGTATTCAAATCAATCAAAATAAATGAAATGAAATGGGGTTTAATGTCCTACTGTTCTGCTCCTAACCTGGGCTAATGAAGACGGGCATACGCCATACTGTGTGCTATGAGGGAAATTTTGCCTGGGCAGCGGCACTACGGTCTACTCTTGTATCGAATTCCAACTGCCAAGGGATCTTTTACGTGCACGCCAATGTGTACACAGGACCTCGGTTTATCGTCCCATCCGAACGACTAGACATCTCTCCTTGTCAGACCCTCCGTCCTGCATCACTGACAAGGGGAAACCACGCCGGAAAATCAGGATGAACTTTCTCGGCCAATGCAGGGATCGAACACCCGATCTCCAGGCTAGCGAGCCAGCATCTTACCCACTTAGCCACGTGATCCCCAAATCAATTAAATTATTATTATCATTATCATACTTAAGTACATACATGATGTAAAGCTTGATGAACAGTTAACAGACAGTGTTTCAAAATGGCGTCTTCTTCTTCATGGATGAATTGTCGACACAGACGACAAAAGTATCCAGTTATTGGTTCAACATAATCCTCACCTAGAAATAGAATAAACAATACACAGAAAATATGTCAAATATATTAACTTTTTAAAACAGCATTTCTGATTTTAAAAAAAAAAACAACAGGCTAATTAAGATGAGCCTACTCTTTATTTCAAATGTCAAGGATTCTTTTATGTGCTCCCCAAAATATTAGACACTGTCCTTGCCAGACCCTCCATCCTGCATCACTGACAAGGGGCAACAACACTTCTCTGGAACTTTCTTGGATAAAACCCTGGACCTCCTTTTAGCCAGACAAGGTTAAGATTAGGTTTTCTGGAAAGAGTCAACATAGACCTAATAACCCTGGGCTCCCTGGGATTCAATTTATATGTTGTAAAATTAGAATTCAAACTTATCACACAATAAATACAATTAAATCTACAGTTTTTTAAAAATAAAAAAACAATTGAGAAGAGTTAAAACAGCATGGTTATTTGCTAAAACATACATTATGCAAGAGCTAAATCTGCCTATTGCTGGAGTTTCTTTAGGCTTTAAATGCTATATAAACTATTAATTAGACATTTATTAACATGAAAAGACTTTAATCAATGCTCGATGCCAACTTATGTGTCCGATTTTCACTGGATTTGAATCCGATCTGCAGCTCAATGATGATTAAATCCAAAAATGGATAATCGAAACTATGTTTTTTATCATACTGACTTTAGTAATGATGATCGAGGCTAGGCCTAAAATTCAATCAGCATATTCCCTTTACATGATTTAGTTTTTAATTATTATAGTGAGAACTGCCAGCTATTAATCTAATCTTATATAACCCCATTTTAAGATTATTATAATGAAGGATGATTTAAAATAAAACAAACCTAATTTTGAATCAAATTTCGGATTTATTTCCATGACAAGTTCCTGCTGCAGACTCTCAGATTTCTAGAAAATAAAAATACAACCATTAAAAGAAAATAGAATGAAATAATTTTAAAAGAAATGAACGCATATGCTTTACAATATCCAATCAAACAAGCCGAGATATATCCCGTGCTTTTACACAACAAATCCACAGTCACAATTCTATGGAGTGGTTCTCATTAAGACTAAAGAAGCTTGGTTGAAATATCGCTGAGTAATAATAAGCAGTAATTATATTCTATAGAATTGTGACCTGTATATTCCAGTTCAATTACTAAATACCATTGAAACGACATAAAAAATAGTAAGGTTACCTGCCAAACCTCAAGAAAGTAAGAAAGGAAATTCACTACCAGCGGTTGCCAGGCTAGATACACCCCACATTTTGCAAGAGATTAAAAGAGAACAAGCTAAAGAAAAATTTTTTTCTTTTTTCGTAAAATCAAGGGGCATAATCCAGGAAGTTATGGTCTGAATATCGAAAGGGACTGAGATCTTTGAGATATTTAAAGTTTCATCAAAATTGGACAAAAATTGTGACATCTAGAGGGTCCACAACCTTCGTATTGCATACTTTTGCAAAATCAGATAAAAAAACAAGATATTTTGTACAATCAGGGGCTGTATCTAAAAAGACTGAAATCTTTGAGATATTTGAAGTTTCATCAAGATCGGACAAAAATTGTGACCTCTAGAGGGTCCACAACCTTCGTATTACATACTGCTGCAAAATCAGATAAAAAAAATCCCAGATTTTTCGTACAATCAGGGACCATAATTCATGAAGTTACAATCCGATATTGATAAACGTATATCAAGTTTCTTTAAAATCGGATAAAAATTGTGACCCCTAGAGTGTCCACAAATAAATTGTTGACGGGTGGACAGGTGCAATGACAATATATTTCCACATGAAAATGTGAGTGTATAAATTTTTTTTATTGAATAACAATCACTGGTTTATTAACATGCAACGTTTCAACAATGATACTTTTATCTAAATCAAACGAATGAGAGAGAGAGAAAGAGAGAGAAATGGGGTTTAACGTCCACTCAACACAACTAGGTCATTTCGGGACTAACATATGGTTTAATTTTATTTCAATAATTCGCTTGCGCATAGGGGTCTTTAGCAGTGGGAGGAAACCGGAGGACCCGGAGAAAACCCACGAGGTTGGACAGGCGACCCTACTCCTTGTCACGTACAACCGGGGATTCGAAACCACGCCAGTCGACTCAATGACAGACTTTATGATACAGCGCGCGCACGCTAACCATTCAGCCATCCAACCCCCCTTCAAACGAATGATAACATGTATGTTCATTACCTTTTTAGCTGGGGGTTGGATGGTCGAATGGTTAGCAAGTCTGCGCTATATCATAAGGCCTGTCATTGAGTCAACTGGCATAGTTTCAAATCCCCGGTTGTACGTGACAAGAGTAGGGTTGCTTGTCCAACCTTATGGGTTTTCTCCAGGTCCTCAGGGTTTCCTCCCACTGCTAAAGACCCCTACGCACAAGCAAATCATTGAAATAAAATTAAACCATGTGTTAGTCCCGAAATGACCTACACTGTGTCGAGTGGACGTTAAACCCCATATCTTTCTCACCTTTTTAGCTAACTTCATGATATCTGAATGTGATCTCTCAAGTATGTGATGGCCAAATTGATTAAAATTATTGAACTTTGTTACAAAGCAATATGGACATCCTTGTTCACATATCTCCACTTTTATCTGTAAAATATAAAATTCATTGAGTCCAAAAAATATAAAGAATCCAGGGGAAGAACGATCTAAGTCACATTTTTGTCTTTTCGCATAAAAGGCAAAACAGACTTTTGGATGAGAATGCTTGACACGAACAGAACAACAAGTGGGTTTAATTACAACTTCAAAATGATGTTTAATACGAATCATAATTACCAGTACCACAACTGACTTCCACTTTTAAGCCAAATTAAGGTCAAATGAAGGGTATGATGGACGTATTTGTCCAGGAGGACATTTCAGAAGGACCTTGGTTCAATGTGACTCCGTTCGTTTTTACCTGAAATTGATTGTTCCACAGAAAGCTTATACAATTTGCTACCAGATGGCGCCATTACCTGGGGTTCGTTGAAAAAGTGAATTAGATTGTTCTTCCCAGGGGCTCTTCATATGTAAAGCCACAAAATAATTATAAATTGGCATTTCAAAACTTCCTTAAATTAGTAGGATATAGTTTCCTCATTAAAGGTACATTATGTAAGAGCTAACTAAACCTACAACAGGCCTTAATTTTGGCTTCAGATGATTTATAATTGATCGGTAATCAACTCTCTAGACCATCAGATGGCAGAGATTGAAATGGATTTAAATGTTATCATTAAAGTTCTAGTAGCACATGTGTGTCTAGATAAAATGGAAACCCCATTTCATTTCATCCCCTTACTCCTTGGCCAACCTCGAATACTATTTCAATTAATCGAAACATTTCATTAGATGAAACATACATACCATATGAAAATCATTCAGATTATGTTCACTGAGTGGCTCATCAACTTTTACACAACAAACATCACAATAAGATCTGTAATATAAAAATTAAAATATTTATAGTACTTACCCAATCTGGTTAAAACACAGATCCTATTTCGTTTTGTTTTTATAGTTCAAAATTTCGTTTTACTTGTCTTTACTACACTTGGATCTGGGAGAGTTGTTATTTAACTCGTGTTCTGAATGGTGTCAGGGATAAGCCAATGAAACGGTCTGTTACAGCGAGCTTTAGGTGTGTTTTTCACGGAACTGTGGGTAATCCTCTAGTAATATCAATACTGATTGGTTAATCAAATGTCTGACCCCTGACGTGACCTATCGCTATAACTTGTCAGATCTTCATGTAGTGTGGGCCATCGAAAGTATAAAAAAACGAAACGAAATATAGATCTGTATTTTAATCAGATTGAGAACTTACCGGTAGTCAGGGAAAAATGTCTGTTTGAGAGACAGACAGACAGATAAAGAGAGAGAGAGAGAGAGAGAGAGAGAGAGAGAAATGGGGTTTAACGTCCACTCGACACAAACTAGGTCATTTCGGGACTAACATATGGTTTAACTTTATTTCAACAATTCGCTTGCGCGTAGGGGTCTTTAGCAGTGGGAGGAAACCGGAGGACCCTGGAGAAAACCCACGAGGTTGGACAGGCGACCCTACTCCTTGTCACGTACAACCGGGGATTCGAAACCACGCCAGTCGACTCTATGACAGACTTTATGATACAGCGCAAGCTAACCATTCAGCCATCCAACCCCCCATAAAGAGAGAGACATCCAAACACACAAACTAGGAAATTTTAGGACTAACCTATAGTTCAATTGTATTTCAATAATTTGTTGGCACATAGCGAAGTGGGAGAAAACCGGAGAATATACACAAGCGGGGAATCAAAACCAACCATCTTGATTCAATTACAGACCCTCCAATAAAAAGCGCACATGTTAAACAATTCTGTCACCTGACACCCTCAGAAGAAGAGATGAACTCGAGCGGTGATTAGACACTGTACGAACTAGGAAATTTTAGGACTAACCTATAGTTCAATTGTATTTCAATAATTTGTTGGCACATAGCGAAGTGGGAGAAAACCGGAGAATATCCACAAGCGGGGAATCAAAACCAACCATCTTGATTCAATTACAGACCCTCCGATAAAAAGCGCACATGTTAAACAATTCTGTCACCTGACACCCTCAGAAGAAGAGATGAACTCGAGTGGTGATTAGACACTGTACGATACAAAAGAGAGGGAGACACACAGAGAGATGGGGTTTAACGTCCACTTGACACAAACTAGGTCATTTTGGGACTAACACATGGTTCAATTTTATTTCAATAATTTGCTTGCGCATAGGGATCTTTAGCAGTGGGAGGAAACCAGAAGGACCCGGAGAAAACCCGCGAGATTGGACAGGCGACCCTTCTCCTTGTCATGTACAACCGGGGAATCGAAACCATGCCAGTTGACTCAATCACAGTTGGCCCATAAATTTTATCATGATTTTTTTCGGTGTGATTCCCCCTAGTCACTGGTGAAGGACACAGGGATTGGTAAGGGACAATGTATAGTTTTTCAGATGGGACAAAAAAACCCCGAGGCCCTGCTGTGTACAAACTGTACACATTGGAATTTGATTTTAAGTGTAGACTGAAGTGCCGCTGTCTGGGCAAAATTTCCCTCATAGCACACTGTATGGAGTATGCCCATCTTTAATAGTCCAGTTGGAGCAAAACAATAGGATGTTAAACCCCATTTCATTTCATTTTTTTGTTACCTAGTGTTAGTATCTTCACTGTAGTCTCCATCGTCAAAATTCCGATTTCTTTTGGATTTTTTTTTTGATTTTCTCTTAGATTCTTTCTTAACAACTGGTTCTTTATACATGCGACGGGTCTCATTTTGATAAAATGCCTCAGCCTAAAATAAAAATAAACAATGACATGTATAGTCAACCATCAAACTGATCTGGTCATCTAATGGACTACGCTAAAACTTATAACATGCCAAGGGTAATTTCTTTGCACCACACTGTATACAATGTATCTCAGTTTTTGTACCATCCAAAAGACTAGACATTGTTCCTTGCCAGGCCCTCTGTCCTGTATCAAAGACAAGGGGAAACATAGCTTGAAAATCCTGTGTAACTATCTGAGTCAGCACCAGAATCAAACCCAAGACCTCATTGTTGGTATGTGTGCATATTCCTCACTAAACCGACGTCATGGCTCCCATTAAGGACAATATATTCTTAAAACAAAATCTTTAAAATGAAAAATTACTGAGAAATGGAATATTACTGAGAAAAGGAATGATATTACTGAGAAACGGAATGATATTACTGAGAATACCGAGAAAAGGAATGATATTACTGAGAAACGGAATGATATTACTGAGAAACGGAATGATATTACTGAGAAACAGAATAATATTACTGAGAATACTGAGAAAAGGAATGATATTACTGAGAAACAGAATGATATTATTGAGAAACGGAATGATATTACTGAGAAACGGAATGATATTACTGAGAAACAGAAGGATATTACTCACGAATGGATGGAATGGATCTAACGCCTCGTAGGTTTTCCTCATCATTCTTCGATTCAACATTCCTACTTTTCTTCTTCTTAACTCGATCTCTTCTTCTTTCAAGCGGTCCAACATATTATCGATACCATGTGGAGTCTGGTACTTGGAACTATCAAAGTTTCTCCAACTCCTTTTATAATCTAGACTGGCGTCAAACCAACTGTAATAGGAATCTTGTTGATCTGGGTTGGCGTCAAACCAACTGGAATAGCGATCTTCTTGATCTGGGTTGGCGTCAAACCAATTGGAATTGCAATCTCGTTGATCTGGGTTGGCCCCAAACCAACTGGAATTGCAATCTTGTTGATCTGGGTTGCCGTCAAACCAACTGGAATAGTGATCTTGATTCCCGTAATGGTCATCCATATGTAACTCAAGTAAACGTTCTTTAGAATCATCGTCGATGCAATCGAGATATCTATCTGGGTTGTATCCACGGTTCTCAGGTCGGCAAGCAGCTTCACCTTCGTACCTTAATCTTTCATAACACCGAAGATTCTCGTCCAATTCTGTAGGAGGAACATTCCAGGAAGATAAGACATGATCTTTTTCCAGGACTCTTCCACCAGTCGCACTCTGAATTTCTCCCAGTGTGATGTTTTGTCGTAAGATTCCTCGTCCACGAGATGGTCCATGTCCAAATTTTCGGTACACAGAATTATAACTGGCAAATTCACCATTACCAGTAGAAATCTGCGTGTTGGGATCACAATATTCTGGTCTTTTTCTAATTCTGGGCATCTTGAAGTTTTACAGTTCTGGTACTCAGAAACAGTATTCAAGAGTTTACTAGTAAGATCTGAAACATATAAAAATAAGCATGTGAAAGACAGCATGGAAATAGACATTTGCGTATTATGCGAGGGAGTTTTTTTGCCTGATCAAAACAACTAGACTCTGTTCTTCCATCACTGACAATCACAGTGAAAAATCTTCAGGAAATTTCTCAGCAAATACAGGGCTTGAGTCCAAGGCACTTTTTTTAATCGGCTGCTTAACAGGGGTTTAACATCCACTCGACGTAAACTAGGTCATTTTAGGACTAACATCAGGTTAAATTTTATTTCAATAAGTCGCTTGCGCGTAGCGGTCTTTAGCAGTGGAAGGAAGCTGGAGGACCCAGAAAAACCCCCCGAGTTTGGACAGATGACCCTATACTCCTGGTCACGTACAACTGGGGAATCGAAACCACACCAGTTGACTCAATGACAGACCTTATGATGCAACGCATGCACTATCCATTCAGCCACCCAACTCCCCTCGATTCACTTAGATATGTTTTTTCTTGCTAAGTGGGTAAGACGCTGGCTCGCTAGTCTGGAGGTCGGGTGTTTGATCCCTGCATTGGCCGAGAAAGTTCATCCATATTTTCTGGTGTGGTTCCCCCTTGTCAGTGATGCAGAACGGAGGGCCTGACAAGGACAGCTGTCTAGTCATTTGGATGGGACGAAAAACCGAAGCCCTGTGTGCACGTAAAAGATCCCTTGACAGTTGGAATTCGATATAAGAGTAGGTCGTAGTGTCGCTGTCCGGGCAAAATTTCCCTCATAGCACACTGTATGGTGTATGCTCATCTTTATTAGCCCAGTTCGGAGCCAAACAGTATGACGTTAAACCCCATTTCATTCTAGCCACTTGTTTCCAATATTTACATTATTTTCGATCGTTAAAATTCGTCACCGACTCCATGCGCTGACGTCACACAAAACCTAACGAGAGAAAAACTGTGGATTGATTTTTTGTGACGTCGGCACATGGAAGCCATGACAAATATAACGAGCAAAAATCATATATCAATTTTTCATTATCTATTTTTGAAGTATTATATAGTGACTTATCTGTCAGCTCTTTAAAGATACATTATGTAAGATTTAGATAAAGTAAAAGAGCTAGCCATTCTTACTATAATAGTTCGAAAATAGATAATGTAAAATGAATAATTTGAAAATTTCATTCAAATTACTCTATTGCGAGTAATAGACGTGTGCAATAATTTCAACCACCGTACTGGTTGTTCGAAGCTAAGTCTCGCGCCTCCATTTTTAACTTAAATCAAAATATGGCTGAACTGTTCTAATCTATTTAATATCACAGGCTAGTGATGACATCGAGAGTGGATTATTGTCTGGATAAGTCAATTAATGTCTAATTAATAATTTATATAACATTTCAGGCCCAAAAAGAAAGACCTGCAATAGGTAGATTTAGCTCTTGCATAATGTAGGCCTATGTTTTAGTAAATCTTACATACATGTAATGCATCTTTAAAAAAAACATCAACATACTAATATTTGTGATTGTCGTTTATCTGTCTGTCTGTTTATTCAGGGTTGGCGTCTACACTGTAGAGCTGTCCCGAGGCTTTGGTGTATTGATTGGGCTAGTTCAGACCAGGGAGTAACACAGGCTAGGCGGATTGGCCTACCGCTTCCGGTTTTCGGAGCTATGGGCACAACCCGGGCAGCGGTGGGTTATTCAATAGTGTTCATAACAACATCATGAACATGAACAATTAATTCTGAGTTGGCCTACCAGGTAGTAGGCCTACTTTTTTAACTTTTTAGTAGGCTACTTCACCGAGTACATGTCCACCACATTATTCTTACCGGTACCTGAAGTAGTCCGGCCCTAAAAACATTCATACGGCTAATCTACATAATGGGCAATTTATTTTTTTTAAAACCATCACCCCAACACTTATTATCATTATTCAATGAACTATATCCTGCGCATCAAGCCCCTGTGATGGTCGCCATGATTTATTTCTGTTGCAATTGCATTTTCATTTTTTTTCACAGGACAATTGTGACATTAGCCAAATCACCAATGTTTCTAATCTAACAATATACGACACCTTCTAGCTTAATCTTCGACTAGAGCAATCAGTCAGTAAATGTCACACACTGCGAGTAGGTTTATTTCTTCTTTCAATTCTGTTGTTTTGTTCTCAGTTCAGACCGATGCCGACAACCAACTGAGAAAAGACATCATACATTTATGGTGTCAAAGGTCAACTTACATTCGGCCAGCTTCATTTCTAACAATCTGACTATGAATATTGGGGAAGGGCGAAAAAATAACACGAGCACTACCATGTGTGAGGTGTGTTAAATTTTAAATTAAATGTTCGTTTGTTTTTACTACAGTGTGAATTCGAATTAAATTATATGAAAATTTAAAATATATAAAGCAAATACAAAAAAACCCAACCCCAAACAGATTTACGGGTTATCGGTACCCAACCAAATCTTTAAAAGCAACATAAATAAAATTTAGCAAACAGTCAGACTAATTTTCCAAAACTTAACCCCCGTACATAGCTTATATTACTAATATTTTAACTGAATCAAAGGGGTTTACCTTCTTTAATAAGTTTCTTATTTTGAGCCTGGTCACGGCACCAAATGCGCATTATAATAACTGCCATAACGATAGACTGGACCTACTGGTCCACACTGATCAGCAGTGAATAGACCGCAACAAACACTGAAAAGGGCGACATCCGTGCGGATTAATTAGCACGCAATATTAACCCAACCCCTTTCCTTCTGCAAATTGAATTTGAAGTTTTAGACAACTAAATAATGATGTTTGAAGTAATATCTGGATAAATCATATATATATTTCCGATTTAGTGTAAATGGGCATATAAAATCAATGAAAGGTACCATTTTTCCAAGACCAGTTTACACTAATACTACGTTTTATGTAAACAATTCCCGCACCGTGGAGCCCATGATCGACGCCGTAGATGTGACGTCACATGTAGAAGACATACTTGAACTTGTAAAGGTCGGTCAACTTATAATTATTTAGTTTTAAGAAGGCTTGAGTACTGGTACGCCAAAGCCTCCATGTCTCTTATTCCATCACTGGATGGTTGGGGTTGTATATATTTTCCTTTAAAAAATTCTCAAGGACATAGATATATTTGAATAATATGCCTGGCAATAACCATGCATTTACTATTTTATATTTGAGCTTTTGTTTCAACTCAAATCAGTAATTGAATAAGTATAACATTTTGATCTATTTTAGTGAAATAAACGTTGGTTTACTTGACAAGACGCGTGGACCCAGTTGGGAGCAGTTAGTCAAAAAAAAAGACGGTCATTAATATAAACACAATTTAATTTAGTCAAATGATTTATTGTCATACTCTAAAAGACTAAAGCCTGTTTTCCACGTGGACGTTTAATCGCGGCGTTTGCATGTGCGTTTAATTCAGCCGGTGACATTAAAAGGATCCCATTACAAAAAATACATTTGCATTAGACCGATCTTTTCGTCGGCAAAAACGGTCGTGGTAACGGTGCAAATACATAATATGGCAAACGGGCCTTATGGTGTAAGTATAGTCCAACCATAAACCCATGACCTTCGCTGGATACTGCATCTTGCTGTACGCGGTGAGATAGAGATAACAGGCCCCGTTATAATCGCAAAGTTCGCAGTCTCAACCGCTAGCCATTCGATAAAAAAAAAACACACCCCAAAACAACAAAAAACAAGCGGCCTTACGTCATACTTTGATTCTGGTATTAATTGTTCCGTCATATTCACTTGGTACACCAATGGATATGTATACATGTAGATTTCAACATATGCAAGCTCATGTGACCAGTTTCATAGATTTTAAATGCCACTCATACACACAAATCACCAATATTTATTTTGCCCAATCTTACGAATAAACAATTACTGAATGTATTAGTAAGCAGCATTTAAATGACCAATCAATTGTGACAAGTATCAATTCTATTTCAATATTATTGTTGTTGCATATTCTGTATATTTGTCTTCTATATCATGTTCTTTCTAGAGACAAGTGAATTCCCCTCAAAACCTTATAATTAAATAAGTAATTTCCAGAAAATTCTACCTTTTATCAAAATAGTTTAAGTAAACTAGGTTAATTCAGGATTCATATGGCAGGGATGGTATAACTGCAGTGGAAGGAAACCAGAGGAAACACATGGGGTTAACATAATATGTATTGACTCCTAGGATTGGCAAGAAATAAATAAAAGTAAAAATCCAATAAAGATAAAACAAAATATCAAATTATGATGTATTTCAAAAATCGAGGGGGTTGGGGGGCAACACAGAGGCTGGACAGCCCAGTAGATCTTTGTAGCTGCTGGATGAAGTAAAACCCAGCTATGATGGAAGTTAAAGATACAACAAAATATCAAATTAAGTATTTGTATAATATTTATTCCTATTATAAAATAAAATAAAAATATGTATAAATAGAATGAATATATCACAGTAATATAAAATTATTAAACATTCAATTTATAACAAATAATAAAAAAATATTATACATTAAGAAAGTTATAGGTGCATTGAGTCTGTGGGTGAAATGATGGACATTATCATATCAACAAGGGCTTTAATTGTCGGTAAATTCTAAATCCAATTGACTGCTGACTAAGCAAGGATGTTGAATTTTGTGGCACCACTTTTAAGCCTTTTAACTATGCTCTGGGTTTCACAGAAATTTTTTACAATCAAAATGGTGGTAATGGTTTGGACAGAAATTATTATATATTGCAGCTTAAAATGCAAATTATTTTGGCTTACTGTTTATAAGCCCACTTCCACAAAAAGAAAGAAAGAATGATACAGTAATACCAGAAATAAGCAAATCACAATAATACCTCCAATTTACTATGAAATTAGGGAACCACGCGACATAATATACAGTAACAAGTCACAGTAACAATATACTAAAATATACAATAACAACATATTCTAATATTCACTAATAGTACCGGTATACTGGTACTAAAATATTCAGCATACTGTAACATACGGTACTGTAACAATATACTAAAGTATACCATATACTGTAATATACAGTAACAGTATGGGTATACTAAAATATACAGTAACAATATACTAAAATACAGTAACAATATACTAAAATATACAGTAACAGTATGGGTATACTAAAATATACAGTAACAATATACTAAAATACAGTAACAATATACTAAAATATACAGTAACATTATACTAAAACAATTTTATAAATGTACAGTATTAATATACTAAAATATAAAATCCCTGAAACAGTTTATAAATCAAATCAAATCAACAAAACAAACAAAAAGCAGAGTAAAACCCTGAATTACCATCTTTTATAGGTCATGAACTAGTTAAAGCCGCTGATCTTCATTTGAGGGTTTTTTAATCCCTTTCAAAGTAAAATATTGTAAATTCTCTAAAAGGAACATCAGCCTGAAAATGGTTCAGTTCAGTTCCGTTTAGTAAAATATATCAAAATTCCACAACATTTGTTGTATTTATTAATTTAAAACATTTAGCATTCATTGCAATTAATATAAACTAGGCAACACCATCTAGAATCTTTGGGTAAAGTTTTTTAATGAGTATTTTGTTAATTCAATTAAATCCAACCCGGGAGATTATCAGCTACTGTTGATATTTTGGTTTCTTAAGTAAATTATGTTAAAGGGGAATTATGGAAGATTTGATAAAGAGCTAAACAGTTCTCGCTGTAATAGTTAAAAAATAGATAATGATCAGGAATATGCTGAAAATCTCGGTCAAATTACTTTACCATGAGCCGAGAAATACTCATTTTAATAACATTGTAGCCTTGATTGTCATTGTTACGATAATAAACAAAGTCTCGATTATTCATTTTTATGGTTAATCATTACAGCCTTTGAATGTCAGATCAGATTCAAATCTAATGAAAACTGGACACATCAGATGGCATTGTGAGTTGATTATGGTCTTGTCATGTTAATAAATGTCTAATTAATAATTTAGATAACATTTCAGACCTAAAGAAAGACTTGCAATAAGCAGATTTAGCTCTTGAATAATCAATATAAGTATTTTTATCATGAACGAAGCTGTGATATTATTTGAAAATGCAATTTTTTTTAACATAAACGAACGTGTGACATTCATAGGCGTAGGAGTCGGGGGACTGCAGCCTCCCCATATTCAGTGAACCATCCATTTTGCGGACAATGTATTTCCATTTTTCGGGAACAAACATCAGAGAATGGGGAACATAAAGTTGTTTTTTGCTTAACATATTGTAAATTTATATTGTTGTGTAATTGTGTAATTAATTATAAATAAACAACTATCACAGCTGTGTGGAAATTACAGGAGGTCTATATTTTCGACTTTGAGTGAAGATAGCTAAATTACTTTTAATCAGATTGATGTGAACTTGCCGTAAAGTGTATGTAGTAACCACTGGCTATAATGCAGATTCTACTGTACATGCAATTTAGTTTTCTCATCTAATGTGCTCTTTGATTCATTCTGAAAATTCCAGTGGAAAATTTCCGGTCAAACAGACTCAGCCCCCCCACCCCCACCCAACTGAGATTGTCCTCCTGTGCCTATGGTGATATTGTCCCCCTTGTGCCTATGGTGATATTGTCCCCCGGTGCCTATGGTGAAATTGTCCCCTTTGTGCCTATGGTGATATTGTCCGAAAAATACAAACGATGATCAGCAGTCTTAACCCTGTCCAGAACAATTACAATTTCATAAAGGATTCGGACATTGAGCACTAAATTTGTATATTTTACAAAAGATGGATTCTAATCCTGATGGAAGGCTTGAGAATTGTGAAATATGTTTTGCTTAGTTGTAATGCAAAGTAGGAAAATTTGATTTCAAGAGCAGCATTTACGCCTAATCGTCTCCACCTTCCAAATGCCAAGGATTCTTTCACGTATATGCCACTGTTATATACCCAGTTCAGTCAAATAATATTGGAAGTTTGAATATTATTCATGCATTCAAGGTCGGACATTTGGAAAATAGTGGAGTACTTGTCCGGAATATACAGGCAAAATAGCATCCCTGAGGTGGACCTAGGTATTTTATTCATCCAGCGAATAAGCAAGCATCACTTGTCAGCTAAGAAGATCTGTTTTATGCTTGATAGGTTGTACATTTAGCCTTTAAAAATCGATCTATTTGTTCTCAAGTGCAATTAATAATTTACAATACAATGTAACTAAATATACATTTTTAACAAACCCTGTATATACAGAAAATATATCAGCAATTTATATTTTTATTTATATATAAATATACAATTAATACGACTAATTTGAAAAAGATTTATGTACATTTTGATGATGATTACCCAAAAGGCTAACTATACAATATAATAGGGATCCATTTTCTGGACGTCACTGATTTAGACACCTCTACGTCTGGACATAAATATTTAAAAATAAATTATCAACAGTCATAAAAATATATCTATCATATTAGATTTAAGTGTATTTATATGGTTATAATCCATAAATTTAACAATACTTTTACATACAGGGAGCAGGGCTTTACATACGCTACAAGCTTCTCAATCCCATTCAGATACGCTGAATCAAATATTGTTTATTTTATAAGAACTCAATCTGGTAGAAAATTATGATGATAAACAAGTTAGTTAGATTACAATGTAGTGTACTAATCAGAAATAAAAACGAAAAAATTATTTCTAATCCGATTTTAATAAGATTGGGCAATTTAGGGTCTATTTAATAAAAAATTGCTCCAGTTTTACGCTAGATGTATTGCTTATAATCCATTTTACAAAAAATCACTCAAGTTATGCTGGATGAATCGCTGACCTTGAGATTTTAATAACCTTTTTTAGAATCCATCTTCATCCTCTGATTCCACATCATAGTAAGCTGGTTTTGGTGTCCGTGAAAAACGCTTCTGTTTGTTTTTGTTTGATCGAGTAAGTTCTGTTGCATCACCATATTGAAGACTTCCTATATCTGATCGTGATCTTTGATAACCTGAAAAGATGAAAGGTTTTACTTATAATGATATTTCTCTGTTGTGGAGAGAGAGAGAGAGAGAGAGAGAGAGATGGGGTTTAACGTCCACTCGTCACAAACTAGGTCATTTCGGGACTAACATATGGTTTAATTTTATTTCAATAATTCGCTTGCGCATAGGAGTCTTTAGCAGTGGGAGGAAAACGGAGGACCCGAAGAAAACCCACGAGGTTGGACAGGCAACCCTACTCCTTGTCACGTACAACCGGGGATTCGAAACCACGCCAGTCGACTCAATGACAGACTTTAAGATACAGCGCGCGCACGCTAACCATTCAGCCATCCAACCCCCCCTCTGTTGTGGACCCTTTTTTCTTGCATGAAAGGAATAATTACATATTATCCTACTCTTCTTCTATTTCCAACTGTCAAAGGTTCATTTACAGGCTTTTCGGTGTGGCTCCCCCTTGTCAGTGGTGCAGGAAGGAGGGCCTGACAAGGACAGCTGTCTAGTCATTCGGATGGCATGAAAAACCGAGGTCCTGTATACACATTGGCGTGCACATAAAAGATCCCTTGCCATTTGGAATTTGGTATAAGAGTAGGCCATAGTGCTGCTGCCCTGGCAAAATTTCCCTCATAGCATGTATGGGGTATGCCCGTCTTCATTAGCCCAGTCAGAGCAGAGCAGTAGGACGTTAAACCCAATTTCATTATTCATTTACGTGCACATGTCATTGTGTACACAGCTTTAACTTGTTTTTTGCCCCATCTGAATGACTAGACACATTTTCCTTGTACACCCTCAGACGCCACACCTAACAAACAGAGACCTGGCTTAAAAACTCCTGACGGTCTTTTTGTAGCATGCATACTAATCGAAAGTCTAGCGCTCCAAACACTGACCCTTCCCAACAGGAACATGATGTCACATTTTTCATCTCCATCTGTACAGTAATTTCTACCTATCCTATATGCCACGCCCTGTCTTCATTTGCCCGGTTGGAGCACAAAAGTAGGACATAATGTCCCTATTCGTGATGCAGGACGGAGGGGCTGACAAGGAAAGCTGTCTAGTCGTTCGGATGGGACGAAAAACCGAGGTCCCGTGTACACATTGGCGTGCACATAAAAGATCCCTTGCCATTTGGAATTTGGTATAAGAGTAGGCCATAGTGCTGCTGTCCGGGCAAAATTTCCCTCATAGCACACTGTATGGCGTATGCCCGTCTTCATTAGCCCAGTCAGAGCAGAGCAGTAGGACGTTAAACCCAATTTCATTATTCATTTACGTGCACATGTCATTGTGTACACAGCTTTAACTTGTTTTTTGCCCCATCTGAATGACTAGACACATTTTCCTTGTACACCCTCAGACGCCACACCTAACAAACAATGACCTGGCTTAAAAACTCCTGACGGTCTTTTTGTCGCATGCATACTAATCGAAAGTCTAGCGCTCCAAACACTGACCCTTCCCAACAGGAACATGATGTCACATTTTTCATCTCCATCTATACAGTAATTTCTACCTATCCTATATGCCACGCCCTGTCTTCATTAGCCCGGTTGGAGCACAAAAGTAGGACATAATTCCCCTATTCGTGATGCAGGACGGAGGGGCTGACAAGGAAAGCTGTCTAGTCGTTCGGATGGGACGAAAAACCGAGGTCCCGTGTACACATTGACGTGCACGTAAAAGATCCCTTGGCAGTTGGAATTCGATATAAGAGTAGGCCGTAGTGCCGCTGTCCGGGCAAAATTTCCCTCATAGCACACTGTATGGGGTATGCCCGTCTTCATTAGCCCAGTCAGAGCAGAGCAGTAGGACGTTAAACCCAATTTCATTATTCATTTACGTGCACATGTCATTGTGTACACAGCTTTAACTTGTTTTTTGCCCCATCTGAATGACTAGACACATTTTCCTTGTACACCCTCAGACGCCACACCTAACAAACAGAGACCTGGCTTAAAAACTCCTGACGGTCTTTTTGTCGCATGCATACTAATCGAAAGTCTAGCGCTCCAAACACTGACCCTTCCCAACAGGAACATGATGTCACATTTTTCATCTCCATCTGTACAGTAATTTCTACCTATCCTATATGCCACGCCCTGTCTTCATTAGCCCGGTTGGAGCACAAAAGTAGGACATAATTCCCCTATTCGTGATGCAGGACGGAGGGGCTGACAAGGAAAGCTGTCTAGTCGTTCGGATGGGACGAAAAACCGAGGTCCCGTGTACACATTGGCGTGCACGTAAAAGATCCCTTGGCAGTTGGAATTCGATATAAGAGTAGGCCGTAGTGCCGCTGTCCGGGCAAAATTTCCCTCATAGCACACTGTATGGCGTATGCCCGTCTTCATTAGCCCAGGTTAGGAGCAGAACAGTAGGACGTTAAACTCCATTTCATTTCATTTCATAATTCCCCTATTCATAACATGGATTTTTCAAGTGGTGAGAGAGAAATGGGGTTTAAAATCCACTTGACAAAAACTAGGTGATTTGGGGAATAACTTCAGTTTTATTTCCATTAATCGCTTTCTGTAGGGGTCTTGACTTGTGGGATGAAACTGGAGGACCCAGAGAAAACCCTTGAGGTCGGTCAGATGACCTTACACCTTGTCACAAACAAGCTGGGAATCGAAGCCACACCACTCATGACTCAATGACAGACCTTGTGATACAACATGCACACATTAAACTATTCACCTACCCAACCCTCCTCAATTGAAGTTGAGAGAGAGAAATGGGGTTTAATTCAAATCAACACAAACTAGGTCATTTCGGGACTAACATATGGTTCAATTTCATTTTAATAATTTGCTTGCGCGTAGGGGTCTTTAGTAGTGGGAGGAAACTGGAGGACCCGGAGAAAACCCACAAGGTTGGACAGGCGACCCTACTCCTTGTCACATACAACTGGGGAATCAAACCACACCAGTTGACTCAATGACAGACCTTATGATACAGCGCGCACGTGCTAACCATTCGGACAATCAACCCCCTTCAATGAAGTAGGAATCCAGCATGTCCAACTGTGAAATATAGATATCCCAAATCTTACCATAATCCTCCTCTTCTTCATCCATTCCTAAAGATGTTTTGGCACGCTTGATTTCTTGTCGTAAATCTTTCACTAACTTTTTCGCTGTTTTCTCACTTTCTCCTAAGTCTTTAAACAAATACAAAAATACATCATAAAACAAGTATAAAACAAAACACTGTGTCCTGATATTTTACAGAAATTATAATTTATATATCATTGTTAATCAAAGATTATTTTGACCTTGACTTTGTAAGTGCAAAAAAAAAAAAAAAGGGTTGGTATTTATATAGTCATAAAGTAATGGTAATTGATTACCTTGTTAAAAATGAGAAACTAATTGTAATGATTACATTTTAAATGTAACTGTAATGATTACATTTTAAATGTAACTGTAATGATTACATTAAAAATGCAATCGTACTGATTACATTAAAAATATAACTGTAATGATTACATTAAAAATATTATGGTTACATTTTAAATGTAATTGTCTTGGTTACATTTTAAATGTAATTGTTATATTTTAAATGTAATTAATGTAATGTAATTAATGATATTGGGAATGTAGTGACCACAGCTCTGATCTGTGGGAATTATGTGTTATAAACGTACCTATAACAGCATGTTCTACAACATTCTGTATTTCACTGGGTGATAAATTACTGATAGCAGCTAACTGGGTTAATAACTGTTGTTTCTGACCCTAAAAAATAAATTAATAAACAACATGAATCAAATATATACTGTACAAGTAAATCATCAAATGAAATGAAGTTTAACGTCCTGGGCAGCGGCACTATGGCCTATTCTTATATCAAATTCCTACTGCCAAGGAATCTTTTACGTGCATGCCAATGTATGTAGGGGACCTCAGATTTTTGTCCATCCGTACGACTAGACAGCTGTTCTAGTCAGGCCCTGCACAATTGACAAGGTGAAACATTGTCGAAAAATCCTCATGAACTTTCTCGGCCAATGCAGGGATCCGACATGCGACCTCTAGACTAGCAAGCATCTTACCCACTTAGCCACTGCGGCTCCCATTATCAATAAGGTTCGTCCTCTCATGACCCCAATGCTTCAAACCAAATTTTAAAAAAAAACCTTATAAACTATAGCTTCTCTCGCATTCACAAGATTTTCAGTAAAAAATGTAAAGACTTTTATTTTGTTATCCAAATATAAAGAATGTGCCGAGTTGTACAAAAAAAATGAAATTTGGTTTAGTTTAACATCCTTCTTTTCTGTTCCGACTGGGCTAATGAAGACGGGTATATGCCATATAGGGTGCTATGAGGGGAAATTTGCCAATGGAATCCTACCATCTACTTCAAATTGTATTGGGGGAAGGCTTACCTTTTGACAACCCACAGACAAGATACACATGAAGTCAATCGGATTAAAACACAGATTTTATTTTGTTTCGTTTTTTATAGTTCAAAATTTCATTTTACCGGTACTTGTCTTAACTACACTAGGATCTGAAAGAGTTGTTATATTATCGGCGTGAGGGATAAGCCAATGAAACAATCTGTTACGGCGAGGTCTTGTGGGTAAACCACTAGAAACGTCATCGCTGTTTGATTAATCAATGTCTGATGTCATAGCGTTAAAAGCCACTTGTACGACCCCTGACACGACCTTATTGTAAAACTTGTCAAATCTTCATGTAGTGTAAGCCATCGAAAGTATAAAAAAAACTAAACGAAATATAGATCAGACTGACATGAAGTACATGTAATATAGATTACAAAAACTCTCAATCAAATGAATGGATCCAAGGAGCATTGTGGTTTACAGTTTCAGACATGCAGTGATATAAGATTCCCACTGCGGGAGGGGGGATATGAGCGTGTGGTTTACAGTTTCAGACATGCTGTGATATAAGATTCCTACCTGCGGGAGATATGATCGTGGTGTATTTACCTTTAATTCTGTTTGTAATTCGGTTTCCATCTGTTGATTGATATCATCTCTGTTTTTCTGTAACTCAACTTTCATCTCCTGTTCTAGATCACCCATCATCTTACGATGTCTCTGTTCTAACAATGACTTCGTTAATACATGACTCGCAAATCTACAAATAAAATCAAGCGTAATGGTTAAACATGTGAAATTTGAAATTTCGTTAAATCAAGAGTGAGATGAGAGAGAAGTTAAGGCTAACATATAGTATATCAATATTTCAATCAATTAGATTCACCCCTTTCCATGAAGACCTTGTATTTCTATCATATTTATCTCTTTCCTTGTATTTTTATTATATTTACCCCTTTCCATGAAGACCTTGTATTACTATTATATTTACCCTTTTCCACGAAGACCTTGTATTACTATTATGTTTACCCTTTTCCACAAAGACCTTGTATTTTTATTAAATTTACCCTTTTCCACGAAGACCTTGTATTACTGTTATATTTCCCCTTTTCCACAAAGACCCTGTATTACTATTATATTTACCCTTTACCATGAAGACCTTGTATTGTAATTATATTTACCCCTTTCCATGAAGACCTTGTATTTTTATTATATTTACCCTTTTCCATGAAGATCTTGCATTACTATTATATATACCCTATTCCACGAAGACCTTGTATTTTTTTTTACTATAATTAACCTTTTCCATGAAGACCTTGTATATTTATTATATTTACCCCTTTCCATGAAGACTTTGTATCTTAAATTCTTCTTCTGCTTCGTCTTCTAATTGTTCTTCTAATTCTCTAGAAAATAAAAAAAATTATAGAAAATAATCCCAATTCGGAGTTTATATTCAAATAACTGGACCTCTTTAATTGGGTCAAAAATAAAACTGTTGATTTTATTTGCTGTTTATATGTTCATTTGTTTTACGACATAACAATCTGTCTCTGATGAGAATTTTGTATATATATATATATATATAGGTAAAGCCAGTGTTGAGGTATAATCACTTTCACAATGACCATCTATAGTCTTTGTCGACAATTTAAACATGCATTATGTAAGAGGTAAATCCGTCTATTGCAGGTCTTTCTTTAGGCCTGAAATGCTTTATAAACTATTAATTAGATATTTATTAAAATGAAAAGATCATAAACAACTCTCGATGCCATCTTATGTGTCTGATTTTAATGGGGTTTGAAGCCGATCTGCTGTTCAATATTAGCAATTCAGTTTTAAACTTGCCTCGATTATCATTACTAACGTTGGTATGATAATAAACAAAATCTTGACAATCCATTTTTACGACAAATTATCCATCACAAAATGTATTCAAATCCATTAAATATCGCAGGCTAATGGCGGCATCGAGAGTTGATTATGGTCTGGATAAGTTAATTAATGTCTAATTAATAATATATCTAACATTTCAGAACTAAAGAAAGACCTGCAATAGGCAGATTTAGCTCTTGCATGATGTATGTTTAACTGACAGAATAGTTGCCATACAGACAAGACTAGCAACTATGTGTGAAGCAGGTGCCCTGCATGTAACAAATCTATACCTTTCACGTTTATATTTTTTTGCTTGTATTTTTTCTCGTAGATTTTCTTCCTGCTCTTCACGAGATCGTTGTATTTGTTGGTTGAGGTAAGAGACCTGATTATAATGTTCTTGTATCAGCTGATCTGTCATTGTTTTAGGTAAATCTCCACCTTCGATCACCTTACGTTCCAACTGATCCTGGAGAAAAAATCAAATCAAATCAATTCATAAATTTTGCGGTAGCAGAATCAGAGCAAGAGCATCAAAGAGAGAATGATCATTTCGGGACTCTAGCAGTTGGAGGAAACTGGAGGACCGAAGAAAACCCATGCGATTGGACAGGCGACCCTACTCCTTGTCCCGGAGAAGCAGGCAATCGAAACCACACCAATTGACTCCATGACATAGAGAAATGAAATGAAATGAAATGAAATGAGGTTTAACGTCCTACTGTTTTGCTCCTAAACTGGGCTAATGAAGACGGGCATACGCCATACTGTGTGCTATGAGGGAAATTTTGCACGGGCGCTATGGCCTACTCTTATATCGAATTCCAACTGCCAAGGATCTTTTACGTGCACGCCAATTTGTACACGGGGCCTCGGTTTTCCGTCCCATCCGAACGACTAGACAGCTGTCCTTGTCAGGCCCTCCATCCTGCATCACTGACAAGGGGCAACCACGCCGGAAAATCGGGATGAACTTTCTCGGTCAATGCAGGGATCAAACACCCGACCTCCAGGCTAGCGAGCAAGCGTCTTACCCACTTAGCCATTGTGATCCCCCATGACATAGAGAGGAGAAAGATCATGAATGAATGGGTGAGTGATATGATGTTTAACATCCACTCAAAACTGTTGGACCAAACTGGAGGACCTTGGGAAAACCCACAAGGTTAGACAGGTGATCCCAATCCTTGTCATGTACAAGTGGGGAATTAAAAACCATGCGCCGCTCCTTGATTTAATGGCAGACCTTACGCTCTAACGTGCACACATAAAACCATTCAGTCCATACAAATATAAAACAAAACTTTATATTTGGGGCTATACTATATACCAGAAAACACCGAAAAACAACCGGAAAACAACGGAAAAGAACCGGAAAACACCATGTTATACTGAATACTGGAAAACACCGGAAAAACACTAAATAACGGAAAACACACTAAATACTGGAAAACACCCTAAATAGGTAACCTGGAGAAGGGCTATATTATAAACCGGAAACTAACCCTAACCCTAAGCCTAACCCAGGCACACAGGGGACCAGACTCCCGGTTACCTATTTAGGGTGCCAGTCTCCGGGTTACCTATTTAGGGTATTTTCCAGTATTTAGTGTGTTTTCCGGTATTTAGTGTTTTTCCGGTGTTTTCCGGTATTCAGTATAAAATAGTGTTTTCCAGTATATAGTATTGCTGTATATTTGGATAAAATAAAAAATGTTAATTTTATGTTATTGCTGATACAAAACATAAACCGCCACTGGAATAGCAAAACCTCATATTGACCAATAGTTCACTTGAATTATTCTTTATTTATTTACGAAATCAAAACCTCTAAATTAGCTGAATTGACGTATGAGTAAATAATACACTGCTGAATAAAACCGAAATTGGGCATTCTGTGTTTTTGTAATTAAATAGTTTATTATACAAACCTGTAGTTCTTGTAATGTTCTGTCCTGTTTTAATAAAATGGCCTTCCTTCTTGCTTGTCCCACCTAATAACATTTGATATAAATTTAAAAATTTATTTAAGTTGCAAAAGATTTGACCTCATAAATCAGCCTTTATAATTCTAACAGATTAGGCTCTTTTAAATAAAATCCCTTTTTATGAATCGATAACATTTTTAAATGTAAACAAACATTAAAGGGGAAGACCAACGATTTTCAATAAGGTTTCCATAAATAATAAATATATATTTAGAAATAATCCCTCCTATAACATATGCAAAAAATAATTTGCAAGCGAGAAATTAATTTTTATTAATACCGGAAGTGACGTAGTTGGTTCGACACGTTCACTGGTCACTATAGTAAACATACAAATTTGGAGCAAGTTTAGCGCTGTATTTTGTGATCGTTTCGCCGTTTGGCAGAAAATCTGATGAAAGGTAATCTTTATTAGGATATTAAGAACAAGAACTTACGGTGTTTTGAAGGTATAATATACAACGCGTTTGTGTAAATTAAGTTTCTAAACTGGACACTGTGACACAATTTAAGCCACATGGCTAATTGTTTACATCACGTGATAGCTGGCACGTGACAGATATTAACCGAACACAAATTGGCGACCTATTCGGCTAGCGACCTATTCGACCGATCCAGCTGGCAACCTGTTCGTTGGCAACCTATTCAGAATGAGAGCGCACCCCTTTAATATGATTGTGCCAACTTTTACTAATAATATTTCGAAAGCTTATTTAATCAGCTTTCGGAATATATTTAGTTGGATGTCCAGAATTTTGTAAGATAATGCGAAATTACATCTCTATTCTGAGCTAAAGGAATGGATAAATGATAATATATTCTACTTTCATTTGATAGACGTTACGTTGGATTTTATTGGTTGATAAAAATAGATGAGTTTGGGCGACTGTTGAATTTATTCTGAATAGGTTGCCAACGAACAGGTTGCTTAAATTGTGTCACAGTGTCCAGTTTAGAAACTTAATTTACACAAACGCGTTGTATATTATACCTTCAAAACACCGTAAGTTCTTGTTCTTAATATCCTAATAAAGATTACCTTTCATCAGATTTTCTGCCAAACGGCGAAACGATCACAAAATACAGCGCTAAACTTACTCCAAATTTGTATGTTTACTATAGTGACCAGTGAGCGTGTCGAACCAACTACGTCACTTCCGGTATTAATAAAAATTAATTTCTCGCTTTCAAATTATTTTTTGCATATGTTATAGGTGGGATTATTTCTAAATATATATTTATTATTTATGGAAACCTTATTGAAAATCGTTGGTCTTCCCCTTTAATTTGGTTGCAAAAAGGGAAGTTTTCAGACACTCTTATTATCTGGGAGGTTTACAGGGGCTGGTGTAAAGGGTCTGGGAGGTTTACAGGGGCTGATGTAAAGGGTCTGGGAGGTTTACAGGGGCTGGTGTAAAGGGTCTGGGAGGTTTACAGGGGCAGATGTAAAGGGTCATGGAGGTTTACAGGGGCTGGTGTAAAGGGTCTGGGAGGTTTACAGGGGCTGGTGTAAAGTATAATCAAAATATTTAAACATATTTCCTCGTAATTTTACCTGAAGTCTGCCAATTAACTGACCAACTTCTTCTTCCTGTAATTTCAGAGCTTCCTCCGTTTCTGCTGCTAATTGTCGTTTCAGATCTTCGATAGCCTTTTCACGATGTTCTTTTAACTTTTTTTCTTCTTCACTTATTTCTGTATCCTATGAATATTCATTATTCATTGTAATATCAACAGTAGTTTTAATAAACATTCTTAAATTCTACTGTCTTCTCATAAATATTCATTAATCACTGCACAATCAATCAAAGCTTTCATAAATATAATTAAACAGTATATTTCTTTTCAACTCTTTTATACCTATTTCATAAATTTTCATCAAAATCAATCAAGTTTTTAGCTTGAAAGGTTCCAAACATCCTTCTGATGTTTGTCAGAGACTTTTAAGAATGCTAACGTTGGATAATTATTCTTTCGACTTAAACATACATTATGCAAGAGCTAAATTTTCTTATTGCAAGTCTTTCTTTAGGCCTGAAATGTTATCTAAATTATTAATTAGACATTAATTAACTTATCCAGACTATAATCAACTCTCGATGCCATCTGATGCTTCCGATTTTCGTTAGATTTGAATCCGATCTGCCGTTCAACGGCCATTGATGATTAAACGCAAAAATGGATAATTAAGATTTTTTTTTTATTTTCGTCACAACGGCAACAATGACAATCGGGGCTATAAAGTTTTTAAAATGAGTATTACTTGGCTTAGACTAAAGTAATTTGACTGAAATTCTCAGAATATTCCAGTTACATTATCTATTATTTAACTATATAAAGTGTGAACTGTCAGCTCTTTATCTAATCTTCCATAATGTATCTTTAATATTTCAATATTATTTTCAATTATCTAAAATTTCTAAAGTAAAATGATTTTCATCTTGCAAAAAACATTAGAGCATCCACCCAAATTCTTCAAATAAATATGCCTTTCTGATGACCAGTGGATCTTGCCAGTGCAAAAGCAACATTTATTTGTATGTACAGGTCACAAAATCTGAAAAATCCCAAAGTGTTTCCAATCCATGCCACAAAACATTGCCTAAGAATATGTATTTTAAAAGCCTAAAGTTTTCTTTAACCCATGCCACAACACATCGCCCGAGAACATAATATAGTACGAAAGAATAAGATTGAAAGTTGATGTAACAACGTACAAGTTTATTGAGCAATTTGTCTCGTTCCTTGCTGCTCATATCACGTGGATGATGTCGAATATCCGCCTCTTTTTTCTCCAGTTCCGCAAGTTTGGTTCTTCTCTGACACAGCTTTAATTCCAAGCTAAAATAAACAAATTATATCAAAGTGTTACATAACTATCGAACCAGGAAGGAGAAAACTATGCTCTATTCTTTATATAACAAATCTACAAGATTTAATTGATCACAAATTATTCTTCGTGCGAATCCAATTATAATGGGAGAGAGAGAGAAATGGGGTGTAACGTCCACTCAACACAAACTAGGTCATTTCGGGACTAACATATGGTTCAATTTTATTTCAATAATTCGCTTGCGTGTAGGGGTCTTTAGAAGTGGGAGGAAACCAGAGGACCCGGAGAAAACCCACGAGGTTGAACAGGTGACCCTACTCCTTGTCACGTACAACTGGGAAATCAAAACCACACCAGTTGACCCAATGACAGACTTTATGATACAGCCATCCAACCCCCCCAGGAGAAAATGGATGCTCCTTTCTTTATATAACAAATCTAAAAGAGTTAATTGATCACAAATTCTTCTTTGTGTGAATCCCATTATAATTGAATAAAGGACATTATGTACTGATGAAAGATGATGAGAATCAATAGTTGGAGAAGAGTAAGCTATTTATGTTTTTATGAATAAAGGCCCATCCATATTGCTAATCAAATGATCCTGGATGTCTAACAAAATAAATCAAGCAATCCTTACCTTTTCATTTGTCGTAGTTTACTCTGCTGTAACTGGTTATTCATGGCTTCCATATTTTGATCATGTTGATCCAGTACTTTCTGCTTAGCTCTGTGAAAACAATAAATAAGACAACTAATAAGTGAATGAATCGATGCTGATTAATGCAGAGAGTAATGTGCATTGTGAGCCGTGTTAGCTCAGTAAGTAAGTCCTTAGTCCACTAACCTGCAGTTCCTGTGTTCAATCCAGGTGATGGCCGAGAACATTGGTCTGGATTTCCTGGGCGTGGTTCTCTCTTGTCAGTGGTGCCGGACAGGGGCCTAGCAAGGGACAACGTTTAGTTGTTCGTATGGGACAAAAAAAAAAAAATAAACAAGGTCCCGTGTACACATGAGGGTGCACATAAAAGACAGATGGAATTTGATTTAAAGTTTGCGCTGTAGTGCCGCTATCCGGGCAAAATTTTCCTCATAGCACACTTTCTTTGTTAGCCCAGTTGGAGCAGAACAGCAGGGTGTCAAACCCATAATATTTAAATCCCGGGAGTTATCTCCCCTTTAGTCTACAGTTATGATGGAATAAACAACATTTTACATTGGATATGCTATGACCAAATTTGAATGCAAGCATAATAAACAGTATAATGAACTTATAAGTGTACTGTTCAATCAAATTGTCCACAAACATGCCTGAAGTTGAATAAATTTTGAAAAAGTAAAAATTGATTTTTAGAATTATCTCCCCTTAGTGTTCAGAAGCTGATTGCATGCACTTTACAACTTCTTGTATTATAATTAGAAATCATTTATTGTAAAATTATAAGTTAAATATATAGTCTAGAAGCATGTGGTCGAGTGGTCTATACAATCTTAAGATACAGACTTGATACAAAACACATATGCAGCGTAAAAATATAGGTTACTCATATAGGCCTTTATATCTTATTAAAGATACATTATGGGAGATAAGATAAAGAGATGGCAGTTCTCGCTTTAATAGTTAAAAACTAGATAGTGTAAAGGTAATTTGCTGAAAATTTCAGTCAAATTGATCCACTATAGAGCCGAGAAAGAAGCAGGTGAAATTTTTGCATAGTCTCGGTCATCATTACTAAAATCATTAATATAAACAGCATAGTCTCGATCTTTTTTTGATTTAATTATCAGTGGCCGTTAGCGGCATATAGGAATCTAATCCAGCCAACATCGAAGGCTAGCCTTGACATTGAGAGTTTATTATGGTCTGGATAAGTTAATTAATGTCTAATTGATAATTTAGATAACATTTCAGGCCTAAAGAAAGACTTGTAATAAGCAGATTTTGCTCTTGCATAATGCATGTTTAACATTGAGTTTTATTCACAATTACTTAACTATTCAGTAGAGTGATGCCAACAAAGGGAGATAATCTGGTTATTAAAGGACTATAACATCAAGATTAATCCTTGGCCTTTATTACCAGTTAGAAAATCAATGAAATTGACTGATTGCGACTGTTGTATTCTGTGTTACCAAGCCAACAAATATTTGATTCTTTCTAAATATGAACCACAGTACTGAGTTGGTTAATGAGCATGATTTAAAGCTATCCCCCCCAACCCCCATCCCCACCACCTAATCTAAGCTTTATGTAATATTTGCTTGTAATTCTAGTATTGCAACATTCTATTCGATGCAACTTTTCAACCAACAATTTTACAGAGAGAGAGAGAGAGAGAGAAATGGGGTTTAACGTCCACTCAAGACAAACTAGGTCATTTCGGGACTAACATATGGTTTAATTGTATTTACATAATTCGTTTGCGCTTAGGCGTCTTTAGCAGTGGGAGGAAACCGGAGGACCCGGAGAAAACCCACGAGGTTGGACAGGCGACCCTACTCCTTGCCACGTACAACCGGGGATTCGATACCACGGCAGTCGACTCAATGACAGACTTTATGATACAGCGCGCGCAACAATTTTACAGGAAATGGCTCAGACTGTTTATGTCATGATAACTTGAACTTACTCCTGAGTTAATTCTATATTAGATGAGATGGCCATTTCCATCATGTGAGATTGTTGGTTTCGTAATTTCTGTTCCTCAGCTCTCTCTAGCTGTTCTTCTTCTTCTAATTTCTGATTGAAAAATGAAAACATAAAACAACAATTATAATTCAATTCTCTATCTGGATAACAATGTCTATAATTTTCCTGAAGTTCTAGTGGCAAGTAATCATCTCAATTATCAAGTCCCTCTTATAACTGAACAATGAAATTCCTTATGAGCGATCATTTCCAAACTGGCTCAATATTCTTATTTGAAACTGTCAGACAAGGTAAAAGGCTATAGTCATATTTTCCTTATATGAGCGATCATTTCCGATATCGCCCTAGGAGGAAGTGGAAGTGGGCGTACAGAGAGAGAGAGAGAGGCCATTTCGGGACTAACACATGGTTCTATTTTATTTCATTAATTCGCTTGCGTGTAGGGGTCTTTAGCAGTGGGAGGAAACCGGTGGAACGGGAGAAAACCAAGGAGGTTGGACAGACGACCCTACTCCTTGTTACATACAACCAGGGAATCGAAACCAAGACAGTTTACTCAATGACAGACCTTATGATACAAAGTGCACATGTTAACCATTCGCCCATCCAACCCCCCAAGAACGTTGAGACAGTCTAGAGAGGAGTAGTTTTGGTCAGTTTTCAAAATGAGCTACAAACCTCTGAATAAAAAAAAAAGATAACTTTTCTCCGATTTTTTTCATGGAACTGGGTCAGTCAATATTTTATGTACCAAGTGTTAGATTTGTAAATTAAGTATAATATTTTGAAAATACAAGGACAACTTACCATCATTCTTTGAGCTAGTTTTTGTTGCAACCTGGATATCATGGCTTGCTTCTCATGCTGCTTTTTTACTATAAATAGATTAAAATTTTAATTATTTAGTACATAATATTATAATGAAGAGGCCAAGAGGGAGATGCTGGCGATATCACTTACTGTTTGGAGAGGGAGGGAGGTTGGACAGGCGACCCTACTCCTTGCTTGTCATCTACAAGCTTGGGATACAAACCACATAGCTTGACTCAATGAAATGGAATGGGGTTTAACGTCCTACAGTTCTACTCCTACTGGGCTAATGAAGACAGGCATACGCCATGCAGGCTTTGTATGTAACATATAATTTTACAATAAATAATTTCTAATGGTCCAAATGGAGAATATTGTCATAGGTACATGTAATTATAATACAAGAAGCTGTAAAGTGCATGCAATCTTCTTCTGATATTAAAGGGGAGATAATTCTAAAAATAAATTTCTAATTTTTTAATTTAATCAACTTCAAGCATGTTTGTAGACAATTTGAGTAAACAGTACACTAATAAGTTCATTATACTGTTTATTATGCTTGCATTCAAATTTGGTCATGGATTATCCAATATTGTTTATTCCACTATAACTGTAGACTGAAGGGGAGATAACTCCTGGGAATGAAATATATGGTTTTAACACCCTGCTGTTCTGGGGCCTGTTTCACGAAATTTTAACTAAGATAAAATCCAACTTTTATTACTTTGATTGGGTAATATTAGATTGATTTTAGTGCTTAGCCAATCAAAATTGAAGTATCTACTAAAATTTGGATTTTATCTTTAGTTAAGATTTCGAGAAACAGGGCCCTGCTCTAACTGGGCTAATAAAAAATATGTGCTATGAGGGAAATATTGCCTGGGCAACAGCACTACGGCCTACTCTTATTTGACTGTCAAGGGTTCTTTTATGTAAACACCAATGTGTACACCAATGTGTTTTTTCATCCCATCCAAACGACTATACATTATCCCTCGACTCAATGACAGATCTTATGATTCAAAGAGCATGCGTTAGACCACTTGACAATCTACCCCCACCCACCGCTACCCACATATTTTGAAAGCAGATGTTATACTTCAATACGCAAACAAAGGAGATGGTATTGAAAGGATTTTGCTGCATTGTGCACAGCTCATTAGAAGTAGATAAGACCCACAAAGCCACGGTCAGGCCCAGATCTAGTGGACTGAGAAGTATTCTGAATGCAGAATTAGGTATAAACCATGCAAACAGACGGCCTCACGTACACTGTTTATATTTCAAAAGTTTGTCTATATTAAGCATTCACACCTCATCAGCGAGCTTCGGTTTGTTAGGTCACAAGTGAACAGTCTACAACAAGAGAGAACACCAAAACAAGAACGCCAAAATGAATGGATATCAGACCCTGTTTGGTCCTAGCTGTTTACGGTAATATATGAGGACTTAAAATTATCAAGTTCCAGCAGTTTACGGTAATATATGAGGACTTACAATTATAAAGTTCCAGCTGTTTACGGTAATATACCAGGACTTAAAATTATAAAGTTCCAGCTGTTTACAGTAATATATGAGGACTTACAATTATAAAGTTCCAGCTGTTTACGGTAATATATGAGGACTTACAATTATAAAGTTCCAGCTGTTTACGGTAATATACCAGGACTTAAAATTATAAAGTTCCAGCGGTTTACAGTAATATATGAGGACTTACAATTATAAAGTTCCAGCTGTTTACGGTAATATATCAGTACTTTTTCTACTTCTTTTCTGGTTAATTTGGCCTCTTCACCAATCAGACCAGCCATCTTCTCTTCCTCTTGGCTAACAACATCTGTTAATGACTTGACTGTGTCCTGTACAAATAAATTGAAAATAATGTCATCATTCACTTACTGCTATTTCTTTTGTGAGGGGGTTGGGGAGGGGCTGGGCGTTAGTCTAACGATACGGAAGTGGTCTCTTGACGGAGAATATTCCAGATTTTAATCCTGTGTGGGTCAAGCAGAACCTTTGGGAATTTTAAATCGAGGCACTGGTTTCACAAAACATTCTCAGACTTAAGAATTTACTCAAAATTGTCACCTTATTTTAACTAAAATATAGCCATTTATAAAACGTTTGTTGTTTTAATGTATCAAATACATCATTAAGAAACTACAGTATGTGCAAAGTTTTTTTTTTTCTGGATTAAAGATATTTCTCATAAACAGTGATTTAAATTTGAGTAAATTCTTAAGTCTGAGAATGCTTTGTGAAACTAGGGCCGGGTTCTCATTTGCAGGGATGACAAGGATAGTGTGACTAGTCATATGTGGGATACTAAGAAAGATGTTCAACCGTATACACATTAATTCCAAGACTGCGAAGAATAAACTTCTTACTCAAAGTAGTAGTAGTGTGTGGAAAAACCTCTAGAACAGAGCAGGTTGGCGTGGATCTCAGTGATACCGTAGGAAATTAATCCCAAAATATAATCTCTTAACAACAGGAAATTAATCCCAAAATATAATCTCTTAACAACACACTGACAAGAATCTCGTAGAAGTCCTTAAAGTTTTTGTTCCTGGACATAAGTGTGCCCATAGAAAACTTGGCAGTCAGAATTGAAAGAGTAGGCAAAAGAGCTGATATCCAGGCGAAATTCACCACCTCACATTGCACACATAAAAATTTGCACACTGGACACAATAACCATTGTACACATAACCATTGCACACATAAACAGTGCACACATAACCATTGCACACATAAAAATAGCACACGTAAAGATTGCACTTAAAAATAACACACATAACCATTGTACACATAAACATTCCACCCATAAACAGTGCACACATAACCATTGCACACAAAAAAATAGCACACATAAAGATTGCACTTAAAAATAGCACACATAACCATTGCACACATAAACAGTGCGCACATAAACATTGCACACATAACCATAGATTATACACTGATCCACCAAACATGTCTAGATTCTCGAGAAAGCAGTTGCTACACAGATTACTTCCACCTACCTCTTTGTTTAGTGGTAAGCAGTTTTTCTCAAATCCATTTAACCTCTTCTCAGATAACAAATCAATCAACCACATGCATAAAACGTAATTGTGGATAGATTAACGGCTTCAACCATTCCGTTTTAACCTCTTATCGGATAACAAACCAATCAACCATATGCAGAAAAACTTAATTGTGGATCGATTGACAAATGTCCAAAACAAGCTGGATCTCGATCAAACTAGGATGTGCTTCTAGCTTGAAAGAATAAAATAAATTTTAAATGATTACCTTTTTAAGATTTTCTAATTCTTGTGTTTCCGAAAGATCAAGTTCTGATCCGAGATCTTCTAGTTCTATGTGTTGTTTAGTTATCATATCACTATATACCTGGTAAATATAAAACAAGTTACAACATGGAGGAGAGAGGGAGAGAGAGGAATGGGGTTTAATGTTCACTTGACACAAACTAGGTCATTTCAGGACTAACACATGGTTCAATTTTTTATTTCAATAATTTGATTGCGCGTAGGGTGGGACAGGCGACCCCACTCCTTGTCACGTACAACCGAGGATTTGAAACCACGCCAGTTGACTCAATGACAGGTCTTATGATACAGCATGCACATGCTAACCTTTCGGCCATCCAACCCCCCTAAAACATCGAGAAATTGTGTAGTGGGTCAAATTACACATTAGAACATGGACGAATTGTGTACAGGGTCATATCCTTTAAGAATTCTATATTTTTCACTCGGAGCCCCGATGGTTCAGTGAGTAAGAGAGAGAGAGAAATGGGGTTTAACGTCCACTCGAGACAAACTAGGTCATTTCGGGACTAACACATGGTTCAATTTCATTTCAATAATTCGCTTGCGCGTAGGGGTCTTTAGCAGCGGGAGGAAACTGGAGGACCCGGAGAAAACCCAAGAGGTTGGACTGTGAGTAAGAAGTTAACTCGTTAACCTGGAGGTCCCCATGTTCAATCCCTGTGTTGACTTAGAAAGTTTATAGGGATTTTTTGACGTGGTTCCCCCATGTCAATATTGCAGAATGGAGGGCCTGGGAAGGTACATTGTATAGTCTATCGGATGGGACGAAAAACTGAGGTCCCGTGTACACATTGGAGTGCATGTAAAAGAATTCTTGACAGTTGGAATTCGATATAACAGTAGGCTGTAGTCCTGCTGTCCGAGCAAAATTTGCCTTGTAGTACCCTGTATGCCATATGCCCATCTTCATTATCCCAGTCGGAGCAAAATAGCAGGACCCAGTCGGAGCACGACAGTAGGACCCAGTCAAAACTAAGAAGACTGGGGGTTCAGCTCTTCAATAATCTAAATGAATCTGTTCTTATTTGATTTGTTATACTGCCACCCCACCTGACCCAATGAGGAATTTCTATCAAACGGGACAGAGAAGACAAAAAACCTTTTCCAGAAACTGTTACTGCTTCAATTTGGGCATTGACCTTTAACATTTGGCATCACAAAACAATGCCCAACATGGCCTAAAGAATTTCCTGACAAAACCATTGGCTATGAGTCTTTGCGTCCCAGACTATCTTCAAAAATTAGTTTGTTATCAAGTACCTCCAGAAAATCAGCAGTGCTTGTACTTTTTTCAGCAGTTTTCAATAAAATGGCCTCCTCTTTCATTTGTTTTTCAGATAATTTATAACATCGCTTTAATCGTCTCAATCGTAACTTCTCTGCTAAACTTAATTGTTGGCGTAAATTTTCTGTAAGTAGAAATTTAACAATAATTGTACCCCATTCTGAATCATATCATATTTCTATAGCACTCTTACAAAGGATTAAAGATACAACAATGTTGACATTTGTTAATTTAGATAATGTCTGTTTCCAATTTAATGAGGGGTGTAGGTGGTCTAGTGGTTTAACATGTGCTCGTGAAATCACAAGGTCTGTTATTGAGATTGCAATTTCGACAAATCAATAAAAAAAAAATTACTGCTGAGTTTCAGAAGGTGCACCCTTGATAAAAATGGTGTCCCAGGTGGTCCTCTATCAGAATCAGGTGAGAAACTTAGAGGCCCTTTTTATGCATGCACAAGCCCTTTGGCTCTGGGACTATATGTTGTTTTCGGTAGACTTGTTTTAGTTTAGGAAACCCCAGACATGACTAATGAAACTCCATGTCTCCCAAATATTGAAACAATTCTTGCCTCTGGCTCAGTGAGTAAGACATTGGAGGTCCTATATTCTATCCCTGTCTTGGCCAAGAAAGTTTATCGTGATTTTCCTGCATGCTTCCCCCTTGTTATTAGTGCAGGACAGAGGGCCTGGCTAGGGAGAACATATAGTCATTCAGATGGAGTGAACAACCTAGATCCCCTGTACACATTGGTGTGCATGTAAAGATCCCTTGGCAGTTGAAATTTGATATAAGAGTAGGCCATAGTGCCACTGTCCAGGCAAAATTTATCTCATAGCACACAGTATGGCATATTCCCGTCGGAGCAGAACAGAATTACACTAAACCTGGCCCTGTATCATTTCCTACCTTTGTTCCAGTTATGATGTAAATCCTGTAAATTTTGTTGATATTGTTTTAACAGGTCATCTTTCTGACGTTCGACCATTTTATTATCTTCAACATACTTGGTTAATAATTCATCGAACGCTTCCGTCTGTGATTCTATGTCTTTCATTTCTTCCTGTTGTAGCATCGTACGATATTCTACAAACTGTTTTCGTTTAGCTAAACGATCTTCTAAAGACTGAAAGGTAAAGTAATTTTAAAGAGGCTTTAGAATTAACATAACTATATCCTAATTTGAGAAGTTCACACAGCAAACTGATTAATAAAATTATTGAAATAAAATTGTCCTGTAATGACCTAGTTTATGCCAAGTGGATGTTAAACCCCATTTCTCTCTCTCTGTGTTTACACAACCCTGTAGCTGATAATTTACTCGGTTAATGTGTATCATAACTGCCTATAACCGCACTTTCATTTCACATCTGAATATATAATGTGCTAGACATAATGCGCTTATGTCTAGCGATCAGTTTATGTTTTTACATGTTTATAAACGTTATGTACAGCGGTTTGAGATATTTTAATGTAAATTACTAAATGAAAAATTAATTATTATTATCATTATTATATAATAATTAGTCATTTAACATACCCGTCTTTGTCTAGCCTGTTCTAAAGTTTTCTTCCTTTCAAATGCTGCAAGCTGATTGGCTAATTTCTCCATTATAATTTCAACCTACAAATATAATACAAACAAGAACAAAAATAAAAACACTTGACAAGAATGTCTCAGGTTTTAATATCTGTGTGGGGTCGAGAATGTCCCGGGTCTTAATCCCGTGTGGGTCGAGAATGTCTCAGGTTTTAATACCCGTGCGGGTTGCGAATGTCTCAGGTTTTAATACCCGTGAGGGTCGAGAATGTCTCAGGTTTTAATACCCATGCGGGTTGAGAATGTCTCGGGTTTAAATACCCGTGCGGGTTGAGAATGTCTCAGGTTTTAATACCTG